CCCAGAATTATATATTTTTAGGTTATTTTTACGTGTTATGCTTAAAGAAGCAGAAACAAATCTTATATCTATTTCTGTCTGTCTGTCTGTCTTTCTGTCTGTCTGTAACACTCAAGATGGCATTTTACGCAATCTTCTCCATGAAAACGAGAGTACCTATCAAGATCCAAGTCATTTTAATGTATTCACTGGATTGGCGAGAGTGTCTTTAGCAATTAAAATATGGCCTCACTACTTTGTAAATAAAATTACGGACGTTCAAAATGCAGTTTTGTGCGATTTTTTTGTCAAATTTTCGTACAATTTTTATCACATAATAATCATCTGTGAAATAACGAACAGCTGTTCGGGTCAAGATGATTTTTTCTAGCTGTCACTGGTATGTTTACAAATGTTGTTTACAAATACCGCAACCAATTCCGATTACGGTTTGAAAGCAAATCCCAACCAAGTGAGATTAAAAACGTTTTTCTTACAAAACGGATTTAATTAATCACAAGTGCAATATTATAGTGTAACCGTAAATTAAATTAAATAACTAGGCATCATCCAGGTCAGGAACCAGAAATTCCTTGTGTATAAAATTGTTATTGAGTTTTGATAACCAGAAAAAAAGACCTTGAATCATTGTTGTATATGGCTGGGACACTTAATGATCGTCGCCAATAGCTTACAAACAAGGTTTCCACTCATTGACGGCGCTTCAATGGTGATTGTGTGAAGTGTAAAGTAAAAAAAATCACAACTGCAGTGGGTGATTATAACAGAGGTTTACGGATGATGCTAAACTCGCTTTTCCAATGTGTCGCCTTCTGTTTCTACTCACCGTGTGATGCAATCGCTGGACCATACAGCCAATAGGCCCATAGCCCATCTATTGGGTACGTACGCCTACCTATTTATCTATAACAAATTTTTCGACGACGATCCTTGATACCGGTACTTTTCCATAGAATACATGGCCTACCTACCGGTACTTAAGATATAAAATTAAAAATTTCCAAAAACCCAACATTGTGTGATTTTTGTATTATTAACTGACTACTATAAGATCCCCGTGCGTAGAACGGGCACACAGCTAGTAACACATGAAGCTTTTGACTAACCAACCAATTATTAAGTTCTGTATCCTACGCAGTCGGGGTGTCGACTTCAGTATCGAACGTGTATACATGGTAAACAGTTGCTGTGCCAGCCTAGGTTTTCTCCGAAGCGTTTAACTTTTAAGACACATTTCCAAGGAAACTTGAAGGAAGTTACACTATTTACTCATATTGAATATATTTGACAACCTATGTTTTTACAATTTAACTGCTTGATCAATTATCATTGTGCTTGGACTAGGAAGGGGAGTTGTTAAAGTGGTCCTAGCATTCAGCTTTGAAGGTTGCTAGTTTGATCCTAATCTGATGGATTCTCACTTTATTAAGCTTCGCTTTACTTTTGCGTTAAGCTAATTATGACATTTTCTTACAACGGGTTGACGTTAAAGTAGGATCGTACGACTAAAATGGTTATAAATTCATGTGTTTTTTAAGAAACAACCATTTTATTGTCTAAGCATTAGAACATATATCCCAAATAAAATATTTTTTGTCCTATCTAAGCTACTTGTATTCTGTGTGGTTGTTTAAAAAAAAATCAAAGTTCAACTTAAACACAACAGCTTCTTAAGTTTGCATTGCGTAATTATTGTTCTTAATTTTGCGTAACATAATGCAATTTCGACTTTGACCCCTTTGGTTTACACTTCTGCTAGATTGCGCATGTTTGTTGACAAGCGCTGTGTCGTTAGAGATATGCGGGTTGATTTTGTGATGTGTGCATTGACTAAAGATCGGGGTTAATGAGTGTTTCCATTTACTAATTTGTGAGATCATAACCATGATGGGTAGGCGAAGAGCGGGTCTTATTCCAGTAAGTAATAGTTATACCATAGAATATATGATCGTATAGTAACTTGTTATGTGGTATGCTTCTTCATATCAGGAAATTTTTTTTGTGTTTTGCCATTGACTATAGTATACCAAATTAACCATTTCTTTCTTTTAACAACTCACTATTTTTCTCAATTTTGAGGTGAATGTAATTTTTATACTCTATATTCATAATAAATTTATGTTAAATTGCTTCTTTAATTTGATGATCTTGTGATTTTAAACATATAAAATGAGTTTTCGTGTTACTGTACCACATGCGCTTAGGTATAAGATGGTCCTTAAGCACTACCGGAGCAAAATCTTAATAAAGTTCTAAATATTGCTATAAGATATTATATTGTTTAAATTAAAAGAAATGTTATTGATGAATATTGTAATATCGATTGTGAAAAACAAGTTGCTATACATATGCTTTACTTTATAACTAGTTTCCCATTAAGGCCGACCTTTGGCAGACTTTTGTCCTCGTCAATCCAAAATAATTAGGCTTTTTAAGGTCGAAACCTACTTTAAGCACCTTAGGGGGTGTCCTACTATTTGCCACCAGTGTCGTTTGCTACCAGTGTCATTTGCCACCAGTAGGGTCAGTTCCTGGAATTCCCGCCATGGCCGTTCCTATGAGTCATAACCATGTAGATGTACTTATAATTTTTTTGGATATTAAATAAATGTTTATAACTCCAGTTACAACTTTGGAAGTGAAAATTAATTTTACCATCTTGTTCGGCAAAAGAAAACGCACATTTTGAGTCCAAAATCACATAATCGCAAGTTAAACAGTATAAGCCTATCTATGTTGGTATTTTAAGCTATTTGAATATTCCTTACATGGCCTAAGATTAGATAAATAATACAAAAATAACATTTGGCACAGTATACAACGCATCAATGAGATTAAATCCTATTAAAATACTTGAAAAGACGCAGTTTCAGTGTTTAGTATTCTTCGAATATACAGGGCGAAGAACTTAAATGTACCACCTAGTTGCAATCTCAGAAACTACTCGATTTAGAGAAAACATTACATGGGGAATTTCAACTACTATCTTATGACATTCAAAAATATGAATTCTCTTCTTTTAAAGTGTGATATTTTCATTATTTAACTTAAAAATTTCTTATCGGACACCTTGTATTTTATGACGATTTTAGACTGTAATTTCAAAAATGTTTTCAGTTTATTTTTTCTATAAAGCTACGTAAAGGAGTTACAGCGTGTAAAATTTAGATTAAAGTAGCTTTTGGTTACATTCAGCAAGATATAGCTCCTAAACGAGTAAGTTTGGAGAAAAAGTGCAAAGAATAAATTATAAATGTTTTAAAATTACATCTACATTCTAAAAATATCATAAAATATATTGAAATTATTCCTTTGAGACGTTAGGTTCATGTAACAGTTATGGGATAAACAACAGACCTAAAAACTGTGTTTTGTTATCATAAGTTATCTTGAAGTTCTTTGGAAAGAATCCTTCATATGTCGGTATTATGTTGTGTAAAATTCTGCCTGATAACTTTTTAAAAATAAGCAACTAAAACATTTATGTTAACCAAGCGCGTCTATCGTCTAAATTAATTTGTTGATTAAATGTGGTTTTATTTAGTACGTTATTAGTTTACATTTTTATTTAGCCGCTTTAGATTAAGTTTGTATTAAAGATTCATTTAACTGTGATGTCATTCTTGTGCAATATGCATCTACTTATGTATAATTCAACTTTAAAAATCTTTGTACAGCTAAATCTAGAGTTCTAATGGACCGATTTATTAATTAGTGGGTCATTGGAAAGCTTAATTCATGTAGATTTGCAAATAATTATGAACGTTTTTAGCGAATTAATAAATAAATTAGACTAACACTTTGTAAAACTTGGTGAGAACAGCACTAACTATGTCGTAACACTACAAAAACACAGATAGGAATAAGCGTTTCCGTTATGTATTCCCCTACTACTAGAGAGAGTGTTGGAATTTTTACCATAAAAATGTTGCAAGAGAGGGCAATAGTGTGAATTATAGGTATTCCTTGGTCCATCGGCCGGTGCCTAGAGGGGTGATGACCGACGGACTAGGGTTGGGGCTGATGACTCACCCAGCCAGGTATAAAGTGGTGGCAAATGACACAAATCCTAGAGTGGTGGCAAATGACACTGGTGGCAAATAACACATATTCCCTTAGGGAACTCCTTAGGGAGGTAACACTGTTTCGTCGTTATTACTCGTTAGCTTAAACTGCCTGGCCAAGATTCTGAGCGAGGGAGAAAAAGAGGCAGAAGAAATAAATCTGTGGTCATCTGTCAGCTGAGTTGCTTGTGTCCGCCCACCTGGACACGACGGTCGCCAGCTGATGTCGCGACAGGGAATCAGGCGGGAGTTGGTCGACTTTACCCGCTAAAAGTGTTGCTTACAAAACGCATAGAATTGTTACAGTCTTATCATTGATGCTTACCACTACCGAGCAGGAAACAATTAGACTTCTTTGGGTTGTAGCATTGAATGTTGGAGACTTATTAAGACACCTAATATATTTGGAAGAGCTATAATGTTGTATTATAGATCGTATTAAAATGAGCCGATCATACATTATACAGTGCGACTGTTTAGATATGTTTTGTCTTTTATTTTCGGTATACGGCAGTTAATGAGACGTGAAAATATTATAATTTCAATGTTTTGAATCTGTAATTTGATCATTAAGTACATGATACAACAGTCCTGGCAAAAAAGCTACTGGTCTTAGTAACACATCTACTCAAATCATCTCACTCGGCATTACACACTCACCTTCCTTTGATATTAGAGTTAAAACAGCCAAGTTGTGTTCCCATCTCAATCATTGTCACTCGTAGAGATTTAGTCTGGACTGGCGTAAATCAGTTATAGGCATCATCGCACTCTTCGATGGCTGAACCAAAATAAATTTTTAAATTCTTAGGCTATATGAGCTTTTACATGGGATAAGAGTTATATTCCTATCAATTAATAGATCCCCTGTAAAGTATTAATTCCTCATACGAATCTCGGAATCTCTTTGTTCTAACAATTGCCTTTTTATTACAGCTTGACGACACGGCACTCCAGTTGTACAAAGATGGCGACTACGGGTCTTACTTGGACTTGGACGCGTCTATCAACGAGCAACAAGAGGAGTTTGACAACTTCCAGTCCAAGTGAGTACAGAACCACGTGTTATGTTACTTTATTTTTTGTTCACACTTCCTTCTTAAAAGAACAATTAACTGCGCTTGCAATGTATATTGCGTATACGCTGAAGAGGACTAGAACAGCTCCAATATGCTCTTCACTCGCTATAATTTCACGATCATATCACGTTTTTCTAATCCTCAAGCCAAGTCAAAGAAGTTGATAGTTGATTATAAAAATAAATTGGAGAAGCAAAGAATCTTACTGATTATGGGCTGAAAATAGGTATGGAAAACTTACTAAAATAATGTAACGCATTTAGGAGATATTCTGAAAACTTTACACTTTCTTACGAATAAAAGAAATTACCACACAGAAGAATAAGAATGTATAACAAGATGTGTGCTGTTTCCTTGGGCTAATCAAAGCAAACATTTAATTTTAAGTACCATGCATTGACATTACATTACAAATAATGACAAATCAAACGATTACGAGTTAATTACAAGTGATCAATTTAAGCAAAGAACATTGTTTAAGGTAAATTTAATTATACGTTGTTCGCAAGTATATACTCTAATCTATACGTATCAGTTAACAACAATTTCAAACAAGAGTACTGTCACTATAACTATTAACATAATTATGTTAAGTATGGTCTCGATTGAGAAAGCAGCAAATGAAGTATAAAGTTAGTTTCTATTCCTGTTCCAGTATTTATTCAAGGACTCGTTTCGCATGCTTTGCCCGTAAATATTACAACATAGATAACAGCGTACATTTAATTAGTAAATTATACGCAACACCCTGGCACAGTAATTGCATGGGACACGAACATGCCAGAACACGTAGGACTAAATTAATAACACCGACACTGGGAATTGGCGGATTTGACAAAATTACAGACGCTTGAAACCGTCCAGTTCTGTTACAAAAGCCAGTTTCAGCTTTATGGGTTTGTGATGATAGTGGTAGTGGACCATAAAAGAATGTACAGGGAACGAATTGATGAGTTAAGTGTGAGCATGTATTTAAAATCCTCCCTTAGAGATGTATCATCCTTATGGTTCAGCTGACGATATTGTACGGTTAGTTCGGTAAGAATTATGTAGTTGGCGTTATGTTATTAAATTTGATTCTTACCATTCACCTATATAAAACTATGTAAAATTATCATTACTATATACGTTTATTTTTAAACAACTGCTTATAACATTAACATTGTATTGCAACGAAGGGGCAAAATACCAACCGTAAAATAAGAGAGTAACATTGTTAAATTTGAGTCGACATCGGCGCACCCAAACGATGCCTCATGGAACCACACAAACCACTTTGATAAAACAGGCTTTATATTTTACAAGAGAATAACAACGCTTATTATTGCATTAATGAAAGTCAATGGTGAGAGGTTTGCTGTCATGAAACGCGATTAGTTAATTATGATTTTGGCAATTCCGTGCTTGTATGCATAGATTAATTTCAGTAAAAACTTCCATAGTAAATTTATTATGAACAATTGTTATTCGGATTTACTGTAGGTATCTTTCAACTTCTCGAAGTTTTATTTTTTACCTTTGTTTGGTTCAGAGCTATCGGCTGTTCCTTATTTAATGCACTACTATTAGAAAAAGAAATGGATACGTATAAAGATTGTGATACTAAGTAGACACATTGAATATATAACTGACATCACGCAAAAACACGTGACAAAAACGTCTGCATGACATACAATGCGAGTCATCATATGGTAGAGTAACTTAAGAAGATTTACATAGAGTTTTATCCTTAAGAAGGATCGTCTTCAAACAAGATAAGTCACGTTTGAACGCGTCAGATTCCTGTAATACGGATACTGCGGAGATCTTCCAACATGCGAAGAAAGACTAGCAACAAGAAAAGACTGCGTAAAACCACAGACATGAGAATAAGTAATTAGTGCATTATCTCTGGTAAAACGAAACAGTAATCACGTCTTTAGCCTCTGGATCAGGTTTACCCAGTTAAAAGGTTGTCTGTCAACATTAGCCGTCTACTAATGAGGTTAGTGTTCAAGTTGAACGCTGAGTTATTGATAGTTCTTCGTCGGTGGCTTACTTTATCTCGCAAATCAAATTAGAATCTTGTCTAATTAGTTTACTACACACCTTTCAGCCTCGTACCGTAAAAGATACTAATAAAAGGGTTTACAAAACCCTTGATATACGTTACACAAATGTATCATTTCCAATTTGAATGTTTTCAGAATGTAAAACATAACAATTATGAACCCTGCTGAACACCTTTATGATATATTCGATTATGAACTACGATAAACGTCACACACCGCTAGTTATAGCTGACAAGGGACGGAAAACTATAAACATCTTAGCCATCTTAGATGAGTACCTCGTCTTGTTTTAACACTTGTCAACGTGATTTATACACGAAACACAATAGAAATGTACTATATATCATGGTGAAATAATGGAATGTAAACCTCGTAGCTGTGAAAGATATGAAATGGGATCGCCATAAAAAGAAGAAATGAAAACAGGACAATAAAAAAACCCCAAACGAACTGATGAATAGCAGCTGAATTTGGGACAATTCTGTAGCGTTACGTTTATCCAAACACACGAAAAAGGAGACATTTAAGTGGTTGAATTAAATTTAATTTAAAAGAAAATATTTTTCAAGAAGTAGAACATTAAAAAAATTAACGTAGTAGAATAGAGCCTGACAGTTACTGAACTTTCTCGTATACTTCACGTGAAAGTGAAGGAAACAGTATCTTATGGTAAACATAATCTTTTATGCCACATCAACCTATCGTTGTGTTAAATCTAGAGTAGAAAATGCAGTTATGACTGTAGCAAACTCTTAAAAGACGTATTTAACTGTATTTTGATAAAATTATAAGTTAGAACCCTAAGCTATGTTACTGATAGTAATATTTAAGGTGCTGGCTGCTAGGTTAGCTACTAGTATCTTCGTTAAAATTACCGATCACTAGTTGCCCAACTACATGCGCTGTGGCCTCAGCGTCACAAAACGAAATAACTTGTTTGTTTTCAACATTCCTAGACGCTGTCGTCGCATTCAAATTCACTATCGTCATTGCACTTGTTAAAATGCAGTTATGGGAATTGGTTATAGACAATGGCAATAGACCCGGACAATGACAGGCGCGTCAGACTGGCAGTGTGTCACACTCCAAATACACACACACTCGCAGTACATTACACAACGATGATGTGTAGGTTAGCGAGTGTAGGATGAGATTAGCGTGTTTGTAACAGATACACCCTGCAACTGGTAGAAAACTGCAAGTGGTAGTCGCTAAATCTCAGTGATGATGGTCCTTATTTACCTGGAAAACTCAGAAGATTGCGTCATTGAGTAAATATTGACTTAAAATATTTCTACCTTTTACCTTACCCATTAGGATGAATTTCTAGATTACGGCCAGATGGGAATTTTAGGTCACCCGTTAGTGTTATTGCTCCGGACAATATACGGAAAACAGACAGGAAAGACTGCGAAATGCATGTTTTACTATGTAAATTTAAAGGATGCTTGTCAAAATAGCCCAACAGTTGAGTTTCCCGGCAGACAATCGTGGCATTACATCAGGGCAAGGTTAATTATAAGAACCGGTCGTAGTCCCGTCTCCCGTGGTCCAGTGTCCAGTCCGTGTAGACTGCAGCAGCTGCAGCGAGGTTTTGGCTCTTCCTTCAACTCACGAAGGACTGCTGATCCTTTGACTCAGTAACACATCTTTAGTCTTTTGCATGGAACCGTCGACTTTCACATAACTCTACAAGTAAAGCCATCGTACAAGTCAAGAACCTCATCAGACCCGAAGACACATCTCGCCGGCGGCAGGTGGTTGTCAGTCAGGGGTCACGGGTTGCTGTAGTTCCCGTGAGATGCCGGTCCGTGGTCGTGGCCCGTGACAAGATCCGGATTACTGAGTCAAACACCTGCCAAGACCGACAAATCACCTCGGTTACAGACATTGACTATGCATTCCGAAGAATTGTGTCATGGACATTAACCAACAGAGTGGTCAGTGTTCGTCGAGTAAGGTTTTCGGTTCGATCCTGAGTAAGCGTTTGATGGCTCGAAACTGGACCCAGCAGTCCTTTTTCAGGGGGTTTTAATCATATGAGTATGTAGAGTTAATCTCGACATTCTCGACTAGCAATTTCGGCATCCAAAATATGGAAACGAGAAGGTACATGAAATACGGTAAACTGTTGCTAATTTTTGCATTCCAGGGTGTGAAGGATTGTACCGCCAGCGTTTCAACTTTATAGTTGAATATACATTTTGAAAACAACCTGAGGAAAAATACAGTAAACTATTGCTGATCCCAAGTAATTCAAACTCGTCTATATCCCAACAGTAAATGATTGCTCTAATAGGAGGGATCAAGAATTATCTGACAGCTTGCTCCAGCTTAAGTCGCTTGACTAAACTCTTACTCTTAACTGGTCGTCTTGTGGAAATATCAATGAAACACAGTATATGCAGCATAATTAGAATTTTGGATTAGTGTAACGGAGAAATTACAGAAGCCAACTCACTGAGCATTTTCACCTTCACCAGAAGATTATGGCGATTAAAAGTGACTTGTTGGAATTCTTGAATCACAGGTAATCTTTCCAAATCCTAACAAGATTTAATTACTTTCTATACATTCACACGTGAATTCATTCACCACGTAAAAACTTTCACAAGGGTTCATTTGAATATCAACTTTCATTTTAGTTTGATGATGATTATTAATTTCAACTGCCATATAAAAATCGAAAATATAATTTGAAATATAAACTGTGGGAATTAATTGAGTGCATTGTACGGCACACGTCGATCGTTTACAATAGCGTATTCCTGATGGGCATCTAACGCCACTGGCAATTTTGTGTTTCGAATAGGAGGATCTAAATTTACCCTACTATTGTTATTATTATCGAGCAGTTTTAAGAAAGCGATATGGGCCCCCTTGCCGAGTGGCGATAGGGCCCAATAGATCACCACTACGAGCTCTGACTTTCACAGGTTTCACAGTTAACAATTAGTTGATGAGTTTACGTAAATAACGTTGACAATACTTAACGGTAAGACTATATCTATGCTATAGGTTTATGGTCAATGGCTTATCGCGGTCATTAAAATGCCTCATTTTGTTAAGCGAGCCCGTATTTATCAACTCTTTCTAATCTCTCAGCTGAAGCTGTCTACAAGCACAAGTCACAAGTTCACAGTTAGGTAACAGCATGAAACAACAAGTAACCCACTAAACACTCTCTACAACGAACGTCCAAAACGAACGTCAAAATCGTCTTCGGCCAATAAAGAAGATATTGGGGCATGTTTAATCTAACCCGACTGATTCTGGAGCTCGAATAATTGAACAAAACTTAATACGAGATTGAATTTAATTGAACTTAAAACTCGTATATCAAATTGGTCTCTTTCACGCTATGTAGGGGGGGGGGCACATTTATCAATTTTTCCTCGTACTTTCACAGCTTAAGTGATTTCGCATCAATAACCTCTGACCGCTTATCCACAGTAGCGTATCCAGCCAGTAATCCTCAGCCTTTGATTTAGTTCCTCCCAGTGGTCCGTGACAATGGTGTGCTGTGGTGACACTATCTCCCGCCAAGGAGGGAAAGGCGAGCGAGAGGTCAGAGGTCACGTGACCGCTCTCTTGACCTCTGGTGACGCGATTGTTGCAACAACCGAAAGATTAATACATTGATTCTTGCAGTGGGATCTTTGGAATGTAACCCCACCGGCGCTCTACCTGAGGAATCTAACAGATTCTTAACATTATTTAGTCTTTTCCGTATACAAACCGACTTAACAATCGGTTTCAGCTGGTTTAGGACCAGCAGATTTTAGCTCATCCCCCCTGGAAATATCAGTGCCATCATTATCATCACCCAGGCAGACTTTAATATTTCCTCACCAAATATGGTGATAAGAGATCAGACCTATCACAGGTCTAAGATGTAATCTCATGAAACACTTGAAGAATCCTTTCTACTTTAAAAAGAGCATTTCGCCTAGCCTAATTCATGTACAAATATCCCTATACATTTTTATTGGTACGTTGGCTACTGGAGTCCCCAACTATAAAATTGTCTACTCTGGAGTGTGTTGTTGCTTCAGGCTTTGTCTTGCATAAAACAACGACAAGCGTTACAAAGAATTGATACCTGAGGCGTTGATTGTAGCTTTTGTGGTGCTCTGTGCCGCTAGCGGTGGCATCCGTGGAGGCTTTTCATCACACGCAGCTGGTGATACTGCAAAGAAAGGTTTATGTTGTCTGAGCTACTGTCAAGAGATGAAGTGCAAATACAAATCATCATCAGTACATTATGACATGTGGTTCGTAACATGATGGTTGGGTCAGTGGTTTTGACTGGGTGCAAGTGGTGCAACGAAAAAATGACACATAAGCCGTGGTTTTGTGGTGTGAATCCACTGAATCGTTTCCCGACAACAACGAAAAATGTATATTAATAAATCTCACAGTTGGCGTAGTGAATTGTGTTTAAACTATTTGTAGTTGTAAAGATTACTTTTGATAATATCTCAAGTTGTGTAATTTTTTTTAAATATCCTACTACTAACTACTGTAGTTCTAAAAAGTTGTTTTGTTACAGCCGGAAGAATTCCATCGTTCTTCGTACACAACTGTCAGTTCGAGTCCACACAATTATTGGTAAGTGAGGCATAACTAGACATTCCATCCCCATGTTAAAGTTGTAGCCAGGGTTTTAATAAAATTTGTCTTAGTTGATGTGAGCCACCTACAGATTGCGCTGATCTAAATTACTGATTTCTGCCGATTACATTATGCTTTTTACCAAGTCAAACTGATGAAATGACTTATTATGAGCTATAGACACTGTTGTGACCCAGCAACTATGTCAGTAACGAAAAATAAAGTACAAAATAGTTTTAGACACTAGCGCAATCTGTGACTGGCTTACACAACTACATTCTTTTTAGTAAGAAATTGGCGACAGCTGATCCATATAGATGGAATGTCTTCCAATAGTCAATGATATTGCTAGTATTTGGTTGTTTATAAGTACAATACTAAAAATTAAGTTACTCTCCTAAGTCCTAAGCGTACAGTCAAATAGAATTAAAAACATGTAGGCTGATAAACTTCCTAAACTAAATGAAACTTTACTGATGAAAATATTTTTGGGAATTGATTCGCCTTCAACAAGTTGTAAGTAAAGTAGATTCTAACAATTTTTTGGTCTTTTCTCATTTTAGCGAATTTCCCTATAGGGAAGTAGCTATTACCGTAGGTCTCATGGTAAGACCTAAGCCCGGGACCGATTTACTTTTTCATTTTGATGTCCCCAGAGGCCAAAAACACCATTCGTTCAAATTTATATATATATATATATATATATATATATATGTATATATATATATACATATGTGTGTGTGTGTGTGTGTGTTTGTGTGTGTGTCCATCCGCACGATAACTTGAGTATTTTTTGTCCGATTTTGATAAAATTTGCTTTGAAGGTGTAAGGCGGGATAAACTTGAATGAGTTCGCGAACCAGCATGATCGGACTATGGGAACGGGGGTTTATGGGGGGTTTATGGGGTAAAAATTTTACCATTTTTGACCCTAAAGACACAAAATTTCACAATTTCTTTTTAAACCATTTTGTAGAGCTTAAAAAAAAACAAATAATTTAGAATATTAATATTGAAGCGTTATTATGCACCTAATTGTTATAGAGAAAATTCAAAAAAATTGTAATTTTAAAATTCCTATGTTATTCTTATGGAGAATAAGTCAACTATTGTAGTTTGCTTGTTTATGAACATATTTTGATCGATTTTGGAAAATACTTTTATTTCTTACTAAACTATTATCATTTTATAAAAAAAATCTTTTTTACCCTCCCTGTTGCAGCAAACGTAAGTACTCGTAAAACTAATTCTATTTAAATAGGAAATAAATGTGCTATTTTTATGGAGGCATTTTAGTGTAAATCCAATCAGGTTAATGGAAATTCGCTTAGTCTGCAGGTTTGCTGCGGCGGGGGTATTTCAAAATCAGCTTGCTTCGATCGTTTAACTCGAGCTCTTGCTGGACCCTAGTGATGAAATCTACTACTAAGCTTAAACACTGTAATCAGCTGAGTTGCACCTCAAGCCAGAACTCAAGACATGTCCGGACACAGATCTACGTCACGGACCGGACATGTCACATCGAGATTTGTCTAGTGACATCACTGGATCTGTACCAGGATCAGTGACTCACTCGGGTTGTTCCAAAGTACAGTGAGGTACCAAAACTATTGCGTTGGAGATTTGAGTGCGTATTGCTATTGATCTATTCAACTTTTACATAGTTAACGTCTACAACTTAATGTACGTATGTATGGTGCGTGAATATCATATCAATCACTGATAAGCAGATATCCCTGTATAGCTATTATAAGATGAGGACACGGACACAACTAATGGGTATTCTAAAAAAAAACTGAAAATAGGTGTGAGAAGAGGGAAAATTCTTATGCCAGGACCGTAGTTTGACAGCTCACTGACCAATGGCCATTGACAGCTGATACCAGTTTCAAACTATCAAGAAGCTTCTGACATTCCTCAGGATCGAACCTGCGACCTTTAGCTTGTTAGGTTACCAGGCGAGTGCTAATGCCATGCGTCTTTCCATATGTATCACAATGCTATCTTTTAAAGCACATTACAAAAATTATTGGAAAAACTAACCTTTTATGTGAAATAAAATTCAAATGAATGGTGGTTGAAAAACAGCACACAATAGATACTTTTTATAGCTTTGAAACCTGAAGGGTCTTCAAGTTGTGATAAGTTTGAGGGGGAAATGATCATCGTGCTTTGTGTTGGTTGTTTTATTTTAGTTTGTCACATTTTTGTCTGTGTCATGAATAACTTTTTGAATTTAAAAATAATTTACCGTTCTTGGACAAATATTCTGTAAATTGGATAAGTTTACTACCTAGCGAAACAGTAATCTAACTAACTCTTGTCGTAAAAAATAGTAACAGTGAACACACATCAGCTTTATAAATAAATCATACCTTGTATACACTTTTTAGCAGACGTTCAATATTTGCGTAGGCCTTGCCAGCCAGCACTAAAGTAAACTGTTATAATGTTGTAACTGTTATTTATACAGTCACCCTTAGAGACAGGTGTTCAGATAAACACATACCTGAGATTAGGGTTGGGGTGGTGTCTATGGGACTTAGCAGAAGATCCATTAAAACTCAGGGACGGAGTTGTCATTGAAATAATAGACGAACGCTTAATTAAATCTGCTTCATGGTGATAAAGTATTCTATTTTTTGAAAAATTCGAACTACAGGATATTTAAACTGGGAAATGTTTTGCGACGAGTAGTAGTGGTCACTAACTTATTTTTAGTAGGCGAGTCGAAAAAAACTCCTCCACAGGTGCATTGCAATGGTCGAATTATGAAAATTCTGCATTTGGACTGTAAAACAGGAGAATTTGTGATACTGTACTTGAATTTGTACGGAGTCTAGCAGATTTTTAGGGAAACTAATTATAAAGTTCAAATTATTTTGATCTGTTCATTACTGTATACAAAATGTCAATTCCGAAGTTAAGTCAAACGTTGATAAAACACACTCCCTTATAGATTTACCATTCTTATGACCTTATGAATCAGTGGAAAGTTCCGTTCGGTTATGTTGAACTAGGGGGCTTTTTATTGTTTGTAATTTGTTTCTTGTTACTAAACCAACATTATAACGATTTTAACTGTATATAAAAATTTCGTTTTAGAATATTTATTGTTGTCTGATGACCAAATAGTAAAGCATGAATCGTGAAATCTGCCCTAAAATAAGAGACATATTTTGTTTGCTTTCTAACGTCTCTTACATGAAACACACACAATAACAATCTTCAAATTGTACGATAGGGTGGGACATTTTTTGCAAAATTGTACTGAAGTAAATGATACGAAAATTAGAAAATTATGTTTATGTTTGTGTTTGCTTTAACTCATTACGGGCTGTATGAGTATTGGCTAGTTATAGGTTATGCTACTGTTAATTTGGACAGCAAAACAAAAATTTGTTGCATTATAATTTCTTGAAAATGGTCAAACATTGAAATACATCGAAAGCTCGATAAAACGGGGGAAGTGTTGTTAAAAGTTCCTCTAAGCAGCTGTGGCGCTAAGACCTGTCTTGTTCACTACAGTTTGTTTCCAAGAAAGGCGATCATTACATTATTCCATGTAGCCGGGCAAGTGCAAGAACGTGCACGAACGCCTCTGAGATGTCTATATCAGATGTTGGAAGGCTTCATGTTGAAAAAGTAGTAAATCCAGCCTTTAATGAAACGCATACATATATTGATTTTTTTGTCGGATTCGAAGATAAAGAAAAAAGAATATACATAAAAATCAGGGTCTTCATTTCTCTTCGAAGAAGCTATTACAGATGGTGGCGCAGTTAGAGGGTCCCGGTCGACCCTCATGAGTTCGGGACCCTATCAGTCCTCACTTACCAAAAAAAGGGAACGATTTGTAGTGTAAGTCTTGAGCCAGGGACCCTCTGACCGTCTCCCATGGACCCTTGAGAGCCATAAAACAGAACCACGTCCGAAATGTGACTCTGAACGCAATGGGTGGATGCCCGCTGTATCAGGTGTCTAGAAATAAAATATAATCTACGTTCAAGACAACAATGAGATATTTGCCAATCATTAATGATTGTTTAGTAGAGTCATCCTAATCAATCCTGTCCCGCCATATTGCCTTGACAGATAAAACTTTTAGAGCAAATACGTTAACATACGTTTAAAAAATCACCATATAGTCAGTGCCAGTGCTGGAGTTTCAAGACAAGAGGAACATGGTGACAACCCTAATCCTTCTCTCATTGGAATAAGCTTACTCTAACTTTAGAGTCGGACTTAGGCAATTATATCATTAAAATGAGATAGAAACTCAAGGCTGCGAATTTAACTGGAATGTACAGTAAATGAAATATGATTCTAGAGTGACATGATCATTTTACCATTGTTACTGACTTACGACCATCTGTTTCATAAGCCATTTATTGAAACCCCAAGGACAAACTGGGTCCAGTTTCAAACGATCAAAAAATAACTGAGGGTCGAATTAGCAACTTCTGGTTATAGTACCATACGAACACCACTACCAAGCTAGGATTTACACAAACGCCAGCCTCAAACACGAAGTACGTATTTATCTCACGACCGGACACTTATCACAATTTTCATCCGACCTGCTCTAACGAACCAGTCGAACAATGACCAAACAAAAACTAGAGAACATTTTAACGTGAAGATGTGCGATAGACAGAAGCGATGCGACTGGGCATTCACAAAGACGATGCAAAACGAAGAAGTTTGAGAGAGAGGGCAAATGTTGATGTCCTTGCGCAAGACAATGCACTGAGGGCGGCAGTTCAATTGTAGCGGCACAGTCCGACAAAACGTAAACCTATAGGAGGGGTTATCTAGGCTTAAAACAAAACATATAACTATGTAAAAACTTAAATTTTAATACCTGAGCTATTTTGCTTTTGGTAAGGACTTTGACCCATAAAGCACCGAGTGTTAAATTTGTCATTCGTGAAACCATCTTACAGCAAAAAAATCATGTCGTGATAAAAGATGTATACTTATCTCTGCCATATCGCAATAACAGGTCTAATTTTATACCACTCTTTCTAAAAAATATATCGTGAGTCAATTAAATGAGATAACTAATGTAAATTGATAAAATTACGCGTGTTTTGTATTGCTGTGGAAATGTATTGTAGCATGTGTATTCACATAACCAAGTACTGTCGTTGAATTGCCAACATTGCGTATGCGTTATAGATGCTCCGTCAGGTCATGAATCAAAACAGAGTTGCTGTAGAGGAAGGTCTTGTAATGGAATTAACTGCTAGACGATCTCTGTGACGTCAGAGAAGCCTTAGGGCGGCGGACGTCCCTCCCCCTCCCCTTAACATATGGCGAGACTAAAGCCGTAACTTCGTACGGAGTTGGTTGGTCCTGTTAATTATTTGAGACCGAAATTAAATGACGATGACAATTATTGAAGGAATTCATGGTCATGACCTTTCTTGAGAAAAGTAATTAAGGTTTTTAAATTACTGAATTACAAAATATCGTCACAATAGGGAACCTCCGTCTTTAGTTTATATTTTTGTCAAAATTGGTACCAACATGTTTCATTATTTAACATTTTCAAAACGTGCAACACATCAAATAATCAATTAAAAATTAGGAATACATCTAACACGACAAAAAATTTCAAGTGAACAGAATAGCCCATCCCCATCGAAAATGGAGATTTTTTTACTTTATCGTTATAAATGTCTTAGGTACTCCAACCCATCTCCATTTCTACCCAAGGATCAGTTTTGTACACTGTTAACAATCAAACTGTACAAATTTCATACAGGCTGTAGAGATTAATAAGTACGGAATGCTTAAAAATAGAATTACTGCTTTTAGATAGAGACAGCCCAGAAATATGTTTTTGAATTTTTTTTACTTAAAATGCTTGTGGTAGGAGGAACCTACTCCTGGAACCAGATACCAGTTTGCCCCCTTCGTGCTCTTGGAAAACACCAATGCATTTTCAATGGGAGCTGGAGTGGGAAGTAGGTACAGGGCAGTTTTTTTATTCACATCGCTCTCTTTCAAATGAAGCAAAGAAGATTTATCTTCAGCGTAAAGCTTATTTTTATTTTGAATATCAGTACGTTTTACATTTCACTTGTAAATATACCCTTTATACAAACCTGGTTATTCCCAACGTAGACAGTGGTTATACGGCCTCCGAGATCCACGCAGGGATTTACATCACAGCAGACAGATAAACGCTCACATTCACTCTTCATCTTTTATTCATGTCAGCCAAAAATAATCTGGGCAAGCAATGCAAAGCCTCGTAGGTGAGTACCCAGTACCGTTGCTGAATTTTTATTCGCTGATGCATATCACTCGGAATTATAGCACAAAGCGCCTGTTAGATCAGCTGTCTCATCTCGATTGTTGTCACCGTCACGTGATCAAAACATAACCTTAAAATATTGAATGAACAAAAATATGTGAAATAGTTGGTTTGATCAATTGTGTTTTCCTTTGTTTAGTAATGCACTGTTTTATATTTTCCTATATATATTAATAAATGAAATAAATAATTAATTATATATATATATATATAAGAAAAACAAACTGTAATAAACCATTTTTTCCAATACATATTAAGCCTACGGTATATGATTACCAGACACAAAACTTGTATGGGCTAGTTTTTGGTATTTTTCTTATTTTATAATTTTAGAAGTTCATTTCAAGAGTAACTTTATAAATGGTGATTGTAAAGAAAATGGGATCAGATTTTTATAAATTTTGACGGAGAAAGAATTCAATTAAAGTATTTGTAGGTAGGTATACTTTAAAACTATGTTATTGTATTTTAAATTATTGTAGTCTAGCTTCCATTTCATTTCAGTTCTCTGATGCAGAGAGACATTTTATTTTTGGTTCTCAAGAGATATGGACCTACTGCCTAAAGTGGAAAATCGGAGCCACCAGTTATTTATTACACCTAAAAGCCATTGGCGATACACAGCAGTATTTGAATCAAGGCCTTGATAACAAAAGACCTAAGCTTTCTATAGTTCGGCCGCTTAGAAAACGACCTGCGCGCTAATGCTAAACCAATGCTGGTAGAGGTCGCTTTCTAAGCGGCCGAACTATAGCTATATTTATTCTACTAGCCTCTCCCAATATGTTTGTATAATTAATTTTCGATTGGACACTCCAATCATAACCTAACCAACATCATAACAATCATCATAACAATCATCATCAGACCCAACAGGCGAATTCTTTGGGTCTGATGACGATTGCAGTGTACAATTGAAATCGATTACCACTTACCATCTTTTATATATATATTTGTATTTACCGTCTTGTGCTGAGTAAACGATATTAAGTGTAAATATATTATTACAGATGCTGATCAACAAGTTATTTTTACAATACTGTATACTAGCTTTGTTACCCATAACCCATATTTTTATTGTTACAGAAAAACTCCAATCTTCTGAAGGTCGGGAACTCAGGAGAGCATTGTTCTCTCTCAAGCAGATATTTCAGGTGAATATACTAAATCTTATTTTCCATCTTAACACTCTTTGGAATATGCTTACAAATTTCAAGAAAACCAGTGGTATCTTTTATGATATTTATTGTCACATTGCATTTAGTTATTTCATCAAACCAGAAACTAAGTAAGAGTATAACTTATCAAAACCTGTACATGCACGATGTTAGTATATGACTTTACTTGAAAATGTCTATATTAAAAATACCCCCGCCGCAGCAAACCTGCAGACTAAGCGAATTTCCATTTGACTGATTGGATTTACACTGAAATGTCTACTTAAAAATATAACATTTATTCTTGATTTAAATAGAATAAGTTTAACAAGTACTTAGGTTTGCTGCATCAGGGAGGGTAAAACTGATTTTTTTTGTAAAATGTGAATAGTTAGTAAGAAATAAAAACATTTTCCAAATTTGATCAAAATATGTTCACAAACAAGCAAACTACAACAGTTTACTTATTCTCCATAAGAATAACATGGGAATTTTAAATTTACAATTTTTTGGAATTTTCTCCGTAACCATTAGGCGCATAATAACGCTTCAATATACTAAATTATTTGTTTTTTTAAGCTCTACAAAATGGTTTGGAAAGAAATTGCTAAATTTTATGTTTTTTGGGTCAAAAATTAGAAAAACCTATTTTTACCCCATAAAACCCCCCGTAAACCCCCGTTCCCTTGGTCCGATCATGCTGGATTGCGAACTCGTTCGAATAAACGTACTTTTACACGTTTGTACCAATTTTCATCAAAATCGGATCATTTTTGCTCGAGTTATCGTGCTGACGGACATATATATATATATATATATATATATATATATAAATATATAAATTTATATATATATATATATATGAATTTGAACGGATGGTGTTTTTGGCCTCTAGGGACCTCAAAACGAAAAAAAAATCGGTCCCGCGTCCAGGTCTTACCATGAGTACTACGGTAATAGCTTATTCCCTATATGGGAAATTCGCTAAAACCAGACAGAACTAACAATAAAAGTGGCTTCAGCTGTTCCATAAGGATAGTAAGGTATCTGCAATCCTAAAATGCTATGGAAAGGTAAGGAAACAGGTCCGCAACGTAGGAAGTGGTGAAGGAAGTAGTCAATGCGAGCTATCCTGAGTGCGGGAACTGTTTATGACGATTAGATTAAAATATCTGCAGTTCTAAAATGCTATGGGAAGGTAAGGAGACAGGTCCGTGACGTAGGAAGTGGTAAAGGTGAGCGGTCCGGAGTATGGGAACTGTTTATGACGATTAGATTAAGGTATATACAATCCTAAAATGCTATGGGAAGGGAGGGAAACAGAGGTCCGCAACGTAGGAAGTGGTGAGGGAAATAGTAAGGTGAGCGGTCCGGAGTGTGGCAACTGTTTACGACAATTAGATTAAGGTATATACAATCCTAAAATGCTATGGAAAGGGAGAGAAACAGAGGTCCACGACGTAGGAAGTGGTGAAGGAAGTAGTAAAGGTGAGTAGTCCGGAGTGTGGGAACTGTTTATGACGATTAGATTAAGGTATCTACAATCTTAAAATGCTATGGGAACGGGAAGGGAGGAAAACAGATCTGAGACGTAGGAAGTGGTGAAGGAAGTAAGTCAAGGCGAGCAGTCCGGTGTGTGGGAACTGTTTATGAGGATTAGATTAAGGTATCTGCAATCTTAAAATGCAATGGGAAGGGAGGGAAACAGGTCCGCGACGTAGGAAGAGGTGAATGAAGTAGTAAAGGCGAGCAGTGTTGAGTCTGGGAACTGGAAACCAATTGTAACAGTTAGATTTATGTATCTGAAATTGAAATACTGAAATGCTATGAGAGGGGATGGAAAAATGTCCAAGACATAGGAAATGGTGAAAGAAGTATTAAATGCTTTTTAGCAGTGCGGAAATGTGTGTGGCAATTAGATTAATGTATTTAAAATACTAAAATGCTGTGGAAAGAGATGACAACAGGTCCACGACGTAGGAAGTAGTAAAGTTTAGAATCGCAGAGTGTGGGAACCGTTTGTGGCAGTTAGATTAATGTATCTGTAATACTTAAATGCTATGAGAAGGGAAGGAAATGGTGAAGGAAGTAGTAAAGGGGGAATCGCAGGGTGGGGGAATTATTTTCCCCGAGCAAAGCTCGGTCCCCAGGTACTATCCATAAACAAGCAAACTACAACAGTTTACTTATTCTCCATAAGAATAACATGGGAATTTTTAATTTACAAATTTCTCCGTAACCAATAACCTTACAAAAACGCTTCAATATACTAAATTATTTGTTTTTTTAAGCTCTTCAAAAAGGTCTAGAGAAAATTTGGACAATTTTATGTTTTGAGGGTGAAAAATTAGAAAAACCAATTTTAACCCCATAAATCCCCCCATAAAACCCTGTTCCCATGGTCTGATCATGCTGGTTCGCGAACTCGTTCGAATAAACGTAGGTTTACACGTTTGTACCAAATTTCATCAAAATCGGATAATTTTTGCTCGAGTTATCGCGCTGACGGACACATATATATATATATATATATATATAAATATATAAATATATAAATATATAAATATATATATATATATATATGAATTTGAACGGATGGTGTTTTTGGCTTCTAGGGACATCAAAATAAAAAAGTAAATTGGTCCCGGGTCCAACTCTTACCATGAGACCTACGGTAATAGCTTATTCCCTATAGGGGAAATTCGCTAAAAAAATGTTTATGTCAGGAAAAGGCAGCTGATCACTATTTGTTTTTGGTGTATCTAAATATTCTAAGATTTTCGAAGATCTCAGCTGTATGGAAATGGGCTATTTTCAAATACATAGTGATGAAAAACATTTAGTTGCAAATTCAGTTGTAAACACTGCTTAAAATAAGTAAGCATACTGTAAACAGTATAAACAGAACTGATTTAAAAAAAAACTTTTAAAAGAATTTAAAAGAAAATGTAGGCTGTTGTAAACACTGATAACCATTTTGATCTTCTCTACAAAAAACCGCTATTGTCATGAGCTTTTGTTTTAAACATGTATTGATGTTGTAAACTCTTTTGGAAGCGGCTTTACTGGTTAAGATCAATTTTTTTATTTTTTATTTATGAACATCCCAATGATTCCAGGATAGTTGGGTCCAGCTGCAGACCATTCAAACACTGTTAATACTTCTCAGTTCTCAGGATCAAACTGGCAACCTTCTGACTGTCATGCAAGCACTAAAACACTCAACTACTTAGCCATAAAAACTTAATAAAATGTTACACACATTCCACTCAGGTTTACCCAAGTTTTAGCTTTAAATGAGTACTGTATTTCTCACACAATACCTCGTTGACACTGCTTACTTGTACAGGAAGACAAGGATCTTGTTCATGAGTTTGTGCAGAATGATGGCCTCGCCTGTCTTATCCGTGTGGGCTCCGATGCAGACCAGAACTATCAAAACTACATCCTTAGAGGTAAGTTGATTTTTAATGTATTTACACAATCTCAATGTATTTTATTATCTTGTTAATAAGATGGAATAAAATGCTGTTGACTGAGAAAAATATTTGATCCAAAATTGAAATGTTTATAGGTTTTTTGGTGATAAATTTTTTTATGTTTAAAGAAAGTTTAGGTTTTTAATTGGAGAGTGTGAGGAAAACAAGGGGCGGTATTCTAGAGAAAACTAGCTTTTTAAGAAACGTAACACCTTTCCTGTTAAGTTGCCAAATAGTTTTTATCAAGGTATTTTTAATTCTTATGTCTTTATCGATATGATAGGCCTAATGATAGATAGGTAGTACATTTCCATACTTAAGAAGAATAAAATACTGTGTTTTTGTCCAAATGCAGGGGTTGAACAAAGCCAAATAACCTAAACTTTGACGTTCGTTATGGATAATGTTTTGTCACTCGCAGCAAGAATGATGCTGCTTCAAATAATTTGCAATTATAAAGGTTTGCCCCGCTAACAAGACTGCTTCAATTAAAAAAGAATAATAACATGATTATTAAATCAACGGCTCCTGGAGTAGTTAGCTGATCAGTGATCATTCAACTCTGAGATATGCAACACCCGTTAGCAGTTGACAGATCAGGTGTTGGATATGTGAGTGTCTGATGACGCGTCATCCCAGGGTGTCAAGGGCAACAGTGTCTCCCAGACTAATGGGTCTGACACGGATATCATCAGAATGCAGACGACTCTTGTGACAAATAGTGATGTCGTCAGCAATTCATGATCCTTGCTCCACTTTAAGATCTGCAAAACGCAAACTTAACATCTGTTGTGCAATATGTGTTTTGTGATCCGCAGCCTTTACGTAGCTGGAAGATCCTATCTTACGCTTACTCTCGGAGATTTATAATTTCATCAAACAATATTTTCCATCTTAGTTAGTCTTTTGCATCTTTTATTGGAGATTCAACCATATGTCTTAGAGATTCTGTAGGGTTGAATGTCCAATATAAGATGGTCTAAACCACTTGATGGTATCACTTTGTAACATATAACTTAGTTCAACCAAAATAATATTGAAGAATGAGTGTAGTATCTCTTATGTATCTTTTTACTGACCATAAGACCAGCATTTTTATTAGAAAAGCCCTTTTGTTATAAGCCGAAATATCTCAGAACTCGGTTGAAAAATTTAATAAGCAACAGATTTTTGTTAAAATGAAACCAGCAACCTTCTAAAATTAAGCGAGCATTGCAAGACTCAGTTGCCCAACTACCTCCTGTAATGCTTAATCCATGACAACATTAAGTTGGATCCAGATGAAATTGTGGGGAGGGCTGCTTTCAGGCTGGGGGTATGAAATCCTCCCTAGAGAAAATTTGAACATAATATCTCCAAACGTGGGTTTTGGAGCAATCTGAAGGAATAACATAAAGCAAAAATCAAACCTTCCCATGCCGACTTCTTTTTTTTAATTTTTGTATACAAACATCACCTTTAAGGAGAGGGAGCTGCAGACCCCACTGCCCTCCATTGACCCGCGCATAGATGACAGTGTTCCCTTTAATTCATATGTAAACACACTCAGAATCCATTAGATTTTTCAGTCAACAATGTTCTCAGGTGAAGTTTTGTCTAGCCACAGAGGGATAGCCTTTTTATAGCAATTGAGTGAAACGTCGTGCAGTAATATTCATCTGACAATGCAGTTGATGCTGAAACAGTCATTGGTATTCACTTTGATGCATGAAGTAGAATATTGTAAAATTACCAATCTCAAGATGAGCCATTACCAAATGTTGCCTCCTGTTGCAGCTCTAGGCCAGGTGATGCTGTATGTGGATGGTATGAATGGTGTGATGGAGCACAGCCCCACAGTACAGTGGCTGTACTCTCTGGTGGCGTCAAAGTTCCGACTTGTCGTCAAGACTGCACTCAAGCTCCTACTGGTCTTTGTGGAGTACACTGAAACCAACAGTGTTCTGCTGGTCAAAGCCATCCAGGCAGTGGATTCTGCTCAAGGTGGGTTTGGGTGCTGTCTCCTCAGCCAGGAGACAGCATAACAGAATAAGGGGTGAAATCCCGTCTTGGTCAGGTCTGGTGTATAGTTTCAATTTTGATTTTTATAAGATAAGGACAAAACATAATGAAACGACTATTATTAAAACACATATAAGTAATTTACAGAGGACATTATGGGACATCCGTGCGCTTTCAGTTCTGGTGTGCTGTGCTCGAAATATACTTGTAACAAACAAGGAAGAGCCCGAACGGCAAACACTGAGGGTAAATTCCTATTGCACAGGACACAGGGTCTTCTTCATTCACCATGTGCGTTGTATATGAGGGCAAGGGACTTGGCTGATGCTGGACTTTGACACCAGCACTATACTCCGTTCTCAAAATTTAGGTGTTTTGGGTGGAAGTTCCCCCACTACCTTTTTCTTAATAAAATATGGCGGAGTTGATTTATACTTTAGCAAACCTCAACTCTTGAGCTATTATTTTTAAAGGTAGGTTTAAGTGGAGAAAATAGATTTCTTCCCCTAAAACCGCCTATATTTTTGAACGGAGTATAGTGCTAGACAGTACTTAACTGTACATTTGAATGTTTTATATGCACCTTACTTCGCTTTGAATTAAATTACCCAATAATCTATGGAGACAAAATATTAATAATACATATATTTGTCATGTAGTAAAAGTACAGCATTTGCAACAGACATTCCCCCATCAATATTCAGAGGGTAATAAAACATATTTAATTCATGCAGAGATTGGCAATATTCTTATAATTTACTGAAAATTGGTAATTTTCTTTCATATTTGAACTGAACGCTATCAAGAAACAGACTGCTGAATTTAGTTCTCTTATGTTCAGGAAACCAGCTTTGGTGGAATGTGATGAGGCTGATGAAAGAGTACGACGCAGCCGACACAGAACTGCTCATCTACGCTACCTCACTGGTCAACAAGACTCTGAACGGACTCCCGGATCAAGACACTTACTACGACCAAGTGGACGCCTTGGAGGAGCAAGGCTTTGAGAACATCATCAGAAGGTAAACACAATGTTTCATACAGTAAACATAGCATTGTATTAGACTACTTGTTTGAAATGTAAAAGACCTTATGGATAACTTAAGCGATATACAATGTTTTACAAAAAACTAAAGCCAAATACCTTATTCTATTTTCTAGTACTGTATTACTATCTTTGAAAACAAAGAGTTTAACAAACCAAATATTGTCACAGATACATGTCAAAGCAAGGTACAGACCTGGACCTACTGAGGCAGTTCCAGATCTACGAGGCTGTTCTTCAACACGAGGATGGGGAACAGAAGGGAGCGCCACTGAAACAACTTGATGAAACCATCAGGTGAGCCAACTCAACAGAAATAATATGTTCTGTCATACAACTACTGTACTGTCGTAGTGTAGATTTAACAAAGTACCTAGGATAGGGAGGTAAGGTCATCTCGGTGTATGTTCTGCTTGAAGGAGGATGATTTGTGTGTAAACAATTTGTCTCCTTTAACTTAGCAAAATTAGTGACAAACACCACAGTATGAACTCACAACATCGCTGCTATAAATCTATAGCACTAACCTATACGTCTGAGCCTCTGGCTTACCAAATATAAAACATGCAAATAACTCTATCCTTGTTTTTATCGGAGTTTTGGGTCCAAAACCTAGAACCACTTTAGCACTGACTAATTTGAAAACAACCTTCTTGCATTTAGTATGACAACAAATATTAATCACACTCATGGTACCCTATTTGAATAGTCGTAAAACAAAAGTAAAACTGCAAATACAATTATAACCTCAAAATCCAATTAGTGCTAAAAGTGTTTAAAAAGTATTGGAAGGGATTCATAATTACACAGTGACCATCAAATTTGAGTATAAATAAGTAGAGAAATTGTTTTTAATTCAAATAATGGTTGTACGGTGTTAAGTTCTGGTGTGGGGATTGATGATTTATAATCACAATATTAGGTATCTCAACAGAGATAGATTTCTCATAGCTATTTTTTGTGTAAACTACCAAGTAAAGTTGCAGAAAGTACTGTATACACATAATAACTTCAGTAAGTTATCGCAGTATTCAATAGAACCGCTTTATTGAGTGCAAAGTCTTCAATGGTCTTTATAACAGCTGTTTATCGCTAGTGCAGTTAGAGGTCACATACAGCTTATCTTCATGACTCATCTTTTTCTCTTTGGTGTCTATCAACCCAGTTCAATTTTCACTTCCGCATAGTCAACTCAATTTACATTATCCTCAATATCTTGTGCGATTTCTCTTAAACTGTTAAATGAATTTAGAAAAATTTGCGTATATAGTTTCTAAACAATGGATGTCACACGAGCTCAAGCTCAGTTATGCAGAACTATTTCCAGTGTTATCCGACTTAACAGAAGAAGGTAATATGTAATTGTACAGATGATTTAAGGTCATTTTCTTGCTCAATTTTGTTTTTACTCTTCGTTAGATACAGGTGTTTCCAGTGAGTATAGGCGGATGGCTGAAAATGCCCGAACAATTTTTTTTTCTACAAGCCTTAGTAGGCAAAAGGTGAGTCCTATCTAAAAAAACATCACTATCAGCTGCTCATTTTTAGCGATCTACTACCTTTTAATGCAACTTTTTTCGTAATTCTTCTCACTCACCCTGCTACCGCTAGATTTATGAAAAATTTAACTTTTTTTTAAATTTTCCACTGTTTTTCTGATTTTTTCTACCTTGTTAAACTCTTTTTGTCAATTATAGTAATACATACTAAAAAATGAGTGTCGCCTTTAATTTTGATGTTTACACTTTTTGTCGTAACTATAGGCCTACTCCTTGACACCTAATTTTAAAGTTTTCTTTTGAATGCTATATTTGCCTATCTGAAATTTTTAAGTGTATTGTAAATAGTGAAAAATGACTGACCATCCCATTCAACCTTAACATTTCAATTAAGGAACCATATCTTAAATGAAAGAAAATTGTTATTTATTTGTTTATGTCTTAAAAAATACATTTTAAAATTAAATCATCTACTGATTTTTACATTTGAAATGCACAAAATAAAATAACTTTTGAAGGGTTAGGTCTTGTTTAAAACTTACAATATGTTAAAGAAAGTTAAAACTGTGTTTGATTTGTAGAAAGACATTGAGGCATCGCAAATGTTTGACAACAACATTAAACCCGTTAGAGAGACGGAAATCTCGTAGACACTCGACGGGAACTTCGCCTCACAACCTTACACTCAATCTGACCAGGCCTGCTAATCTCGACGATGAGCAGACTGATGAGTATCACAATGGTAGGTAAAATTCTCTAGTCATTGAATTTTATATTTTTTCTTTTTCCAAAGCTTATGCTATACTATCAATGTGTTTGCTTTAAATGCTGATTTTTTTCTCTGTTTTGTAACACTTTTTACTGAGCATTGTGTATTTTTTTAACCATATGCACAAGATTTAATATTAAAAATGTTTTATCTATGTTAAATAGTAATAAAGTAGGTATTTGATCTACTTTCACTCTACCCAGCTCATCAAACTGGCGTTAAGATGTAAATAATCTGTTTTGGAAAAAGTGAGTAATTTTTTTTATTATTTAGTTGACAATTTGTGCTCATGAGTTCTCTTCTTGTGTTTTTGCTCAAAATATAAAATACTCAATTGTTTAAGGAAAATTTAGAGAAACAGGAATAACAAATTGCTGATTTTAGATCTACGACATAAAGAGTGCTATTCCTACACCAATCAGCTTACAATTGTAAAAAGGAAGCCTATTTAAAAAACCATTTTCATCAACGGGTTTTTTCTCTTGTTTACAATCTTACTGTTGTTCTACTGAAGAATCAGATATTAGGTAACATCTAAACTGCTATGAAAAAAGTTAATCAGCATCACTGAATCTTTGCAAGCGTTCTCTAGAAATAAATCAAGCCTTAGGGGCCTAGGGCGATGTTCTAAAGGAAATTACCATTTTAGTTACCATTTGTCCTTCTGCTGTATCATAATTTTAAAATGACACCTCAATCGCGAAACCCGGTAGGACGGCTAAAAGAAAACCACCTATTTTTATCCGATATACATTTTACAGTAAAACAGCAATATTGTCAATCTGTATCAGTATGAAAAGCCTCGAAGTAAAATTGGGGGCTAATTTCCTCACAGGGTCTAAGTAGTTATAATCACATTCGATTATCAACGTCTTACAATATTGGATGTTTTTATTACCAACAAACTGTATGGCTGTTTGTATGGCTTACCAACAGACAGACATTTGAAGATAAAGGAAAACAAACCATCAAAATAAAAAAATACTTGTAGTAACATAAATAATTTAGTGATAGTTTGCCAAGAAATTTCCCTAACATGAGTAAACAATTTTATAACGGTGATCGTCTCTTGCTACCGCAGAACACCAGTGTGTAGTGATTACTCGCTGGACTAGCGGTTTAGTTTATATATTTTGTTATTTCCTTTGATTACCGACCTTTCGGATGACTGGGCTTCAGATAATTGTTGCTCCACTGTAATGCTCATTTTCTGTTTCAAAAGTTACCAGAATAATCTTTATATATTATAAACATAGGTCCTAGACAAAATTCTTTTTCTCCCAGTTACCATGCTGGGGAAGTCTTACACAATTTAATAAAATTCTTTATTCAAGATTAAATGAACGTAAAAATGCCTTTTTAGGCTTACCTCCTGTCAGTAGTCTAAAATTGTGTTCAACTTCAATTCAATTGAACACAATTTTTGACAATTTTGGAGAGGTAAGCCTAAAAAGTCATACCTATATAAATTAAATAGTCCAGGGGCTATCAAAATGAATGCTATGAAAGTAAAGATATTCAGATGGCTAAGCATTTTTAAGTAGATTATATTTTTGTACAGTTGCAAGCAGAGTCTTACTACCCTGGTGGTAAGCAGAAAATCATATAATTTGGAAAAAATCTATGTAAACATGTTGGTTTGTGTAATTTTAAATGTTTTTGTAACAGTAAAATGTAAGATATAGAAATACACATATTTACTCAGCTTTGGTCCACTTTGCAGACGAGGCGGGTAACAGAAAGGTATGTAGGGAATAATAGAATAATAATCAAAGATGGAATCAATTCAATTGCATTCTGTTCCATTTCAGTCTGTGTTGTAGGGAATCATTTCAACCATATCATTTCAAATCTGGTTTTGAAATGAAAAATGAATAATGAAAACCCCTCTAAAATTTTGGTTTTTAGATTTGACCTTCCGATTTTGAAACATCTTAACATCTTATTTTCTTACGGTGGGGATTCAAGAGTATTGAATCCCGACCGTGCTTACAGTCGTTGAAATTAATGACCGTCTTACAAAATCGGTTTCATTTTGTTAATTTTATTATACACATAACCTCTTATCTCTTGAACAAATTTGAAAGGGTTGAGGATTTTTTGCTTTTATAAGTGTAACTAACCAGAATCCACTGAGCCACTTGGTTTTCCGCTGGTCACTTCCGCTTCATTAATAAGAGTGTTGTGTTGCTTGTGTGGAGTGAACTAACTGTGTTGCAGTGTTGGATGAGGGAGGAGTGGGGGTTACTCCTGCACTGCGCAGACGACGGGAACGTGCAGAAAGACAACGCAGCTTCCTGCGTGAGCAGAGAGAAGCAGCTCTCCTAGCAACACTCAGCAGTACAGACCAGTCCAGCAGTGAGGATGGTACAGTCTGTTCTGTTGCGTTAGCGAAAATGTTATTTGTGTAGTGTAGTGCATAGCAACTGTGAAGGTTTTGTGTGTAGCCTTTAGTAAAAACTACGGTTTTTTTTATAAGTTTGAATTATAGTATGCATTTATTGCATTTTGGGCTGTCAATAAATTAAATAAACTGATAAAAATGGGAAATGGAAACTGAATTGTGGCAATAAAACTAAGAGACAGTTTGGATGCATCTAGCAATATTTTTGTAAAACCGTACATCCAAATTTGTATGATACAATCAAACGTTTTGTTGTACTATAGTTATTTGTTCATACATTTCTCTAGTAAACATTTTACTGGATAGAAATTGTCATTGATACTTATCTACTATAAAATTGAACTGATCTGCTTTAACTTCAGGCTATTGTTAAAATTTTTGACCCCCTTGTTCTATCCCCCCTCCTTTAATTTATTGAAAGGACCTAAGTATTGTGGATGGTCCATCTGATATACTTGGTAGATACTGACATATTATAATTCAACACATTGTGCAATGTGCATGTTGCTTTTAGTTCAACACTTAAATGTTGTCAAAGGCCCACAGTTTTATGTGTAAGCGTATGTGGTAAACTGTGTTAATTTACACCTCCTTACATACACATTCTATGCTACATGTTGGTTATCTATTCTATGTGACAACAGGTGGAGTACACAACGGGTATTGCAATGGAGACTCTAACCATGGCAAGAGAGAGAACTCTGTCAAAGATCTGACACAGAAGTTGGCCTCCACTCTGGGCAGCCCTGGAGCCTTGGATGCTGATGGGAAACCCATAACTAGAATGGGAGAAATGAAGGGAATCATCTCCAAGGCTAAAGAAGGTTGGTTATTGGTCATATTAATTTCTCTGTTTAGCCAAGAATATAAATTCTTCTCCTGATAATGTGTCTGTGGTGGGTGTCAATAAGTCCTATTTCTTTAAATCTTGAGAATACCTTGGGTTCCAAATCCCACCATTGCTAAAATATTACATAAATGGACCAAATTGAAATATATAATATTTTACAAAATTGCTTTCCAGGAGAACTTTTATTTATTGTCATTGTCAGTGGTGAAACTCTTCTGCTAAAAGAACTTGAAGTTCCAAGTTTGTCCAATTTTGGTAATTTTAGTGTAAAAAAAAAGATCAAAATATTATTTACACTCGTAAGACTCCTATATTTATAAAAATCAATGCACATGATTCTATTGTCATCATCTAGGTCTCGCCAAGTCACAGTCTAGAGGTGATGTACTAAAGAGCCCCACTTCGGAAACACCTCCACCATTCAAGCCTCCGGAAGTGAAGAAGTCAGAGACAGAGCTTCATTGGGAGGAACTCGTGAGTTCGTGCTCGCGAGCTCTCAACCTCTGTGATCTCGACTTCACGGATCTGCACAGTGATGATGAACAGAGTGTGTTTGCTGCAACCAGTCGAGCGCCCGGAGCTCCACCTCCACCTCCGCCGGGCATCCCCCCACCTTGCAACCTCCCTCCGCCCATCCCTGCTCCTGCTGCTCCACCACCACTTACGTCTACGCCTAGTCGACTTGCCTCGCCTGTCCGCAAGAATAAGAAGACTGTCAAACTTTTTTGGAAGGTAAATGCATACCTACCTAAAAGATTGAAGTAACATGTAAAATTTCTAAGTTCAAATTCATCATATAAGTCAGAAGTCTTAATCATTAATTTTTGAAAATAATCTTAACTTTTCTATTAAAACATTTTTGTACAGAACATCCCCCCCCACTTTTGCTAGCAGCCTAGTGGTAAATCCGACCATTAATAGGTAATAAATGGGGTACCGGTACATTATGGTCTCAAACCATAGAGCTTCTAATTTAGAATCACTGACATAGATGGCCATTTTAACTAATTTGCCAAATTGATGGCCAAGGATCTTACTTATAAAAGATTTATAAGAATCTAGAAGGATTTTAAAGAATCCAACCAAAGTTTAACACTGTCATAAATGAACAAAAAGCTGTAAACCTTGTAAAAATTGTATCTTTCAAAATCCAATTATTTCTGTTTGCTTTTTCAATGGTTTCAACATTGACCTTTTTACCTGTAGGAAGTTAGAGACGACCCAGTGGTTTTTGCAAAGCTCAATTCAACAAACCTGATCTGGGACGAGATGTCTCCAGTTGCTGTCGACATTCAGAAGTTGGAACACCTGTTTGAGTCCAGGGCTAAAGATCTTATCACAAAGGTACGCTTGCACACACTCACGATAAACACCGTTGGCCATCCGTCCTGTAAGTTGTATCATCAATGGTTGACTTATTCTTTGAAAATATGCAAGCTACTTTTTCAATAGAAATTTTTTTTTAAGTTAGTTTTCTTTAAATATTAAAGTATTTTAAAGTAATGAGAAAGTTGGTACTTTTCACAGAGAATTGACGTTGGGAATTTCAAAGCCAAACCATAGAAATATGTTAACAGAGTTGTATTACCATTTGGTAACTTTTGAGCTAGTAAGTATTACCAACAACAGCAAAAACAAAATCAAAATGGATAACTTGCAGATACTTTTGGTTTTATCATTCCAGTCGCTGGTATTGCTTCTGTTTTTTACAGCAAAATTAGCTCAAAATGTTCCAGGCCACTATAAAGTTTTGTTGCTTAATCTCTTATGTCCATTCTGAAATGTAATTTTTTTTATTTTTACCTTGTTGAGTTTTTTATGTTGAGTAATGTAGAGTCAGTGAGTCTGTTGAGTACCTGCTTAGTAGTGTAGTTAGGCTTTGGTTCTGTAATCATCTTAAGGTTGGTAGTTTAATCAGTTTAAGTAAAACGCTGCCCCTTCTGGTAGAGGCTTTTATGGTATTAGAGCACGAGGGAAAAACTTAGCCATGGGAAATGCATGAAACTAACCTTAATTGTACTTAATAAACTCAGGTCTGCATAGTTGCATGCATTAAACCACCATTAAATGCATGTAGACATGGTTGAAACCCTATTTTATCATGCTCTTTCTGTGATGAGTGATCATATGCATTATTTTGTGCTGTACAGAATCTCCATTAAAAATGTTAAGGTAAATTGCATGATGATGTATGTTGCGATTGTTGAACTGAGGCATGATATTTTACTGTTATGTTATTCTTCATGTCTTCCACCATAAAAACTTTCCTCCTTAATGTTAGTTTAATAGTACTCATCTTTCCTGATTATTTTCCCGTTGTACAATTTTATTAATTAATCATAGAATTCTTAAATTTTGATCATTGTTTTAGATCCTTCATGCTATACAGTGTTATATTTAGATATCAATGATATCATAATTCTTTAAAACGTCGATTCTAAAAAGTCTTTACTTTATAGCACAGTAGTAGCAAAAGTACACATTAATTGTGTCATTAATATTTTCCTATGGTTTTATTACAGGAAGGAAATAATTTAATGTAATAAGAAATTTGTTTGTACAAACTTTTTTTTAATTTCCACGAACAGTTAAAGGTGTCATGCTAATGTTATAGGCAATTGGTATTAAAATCATTGTAAAGACAATTTCAGAATATTTTTGAAATACAAAATTGACAAAAATATTAATGTTACAGATCTAGATCCAAAGCGCAAAACCATTTCATTTAAGCTTTGCTCACCATTGACATACTCATTTCTCAGTAGGCCTTTGTCAAACCTTAATACTGTGTAGACTACATTGGGCGGTTTCTTTCAATTACATACAAGCATAGAAATCTAGAGAGTTGGTTTAGTCATAAATTATCTTCCGTTGTTTTGTCTAAATCAAAAATAAAAAGAAACCCATTTAGGAAAGGTTTTGGTGGTTCTATAATGTTTTGATTTGAAATATATTGCTGCTGATGATGAACTGTAATAAGTTAGAAAGATGTCTAGCACAACGATTCAACATTTTTGACATCCTAAGGATCTACATTTTTCATGTTTTTAATTGTGTAAAAATCATGTATAACATAATGGTTACAATCTTCCATTGAAAACAGGACAGTGTTTCCCAAAAGAGAACAAAGAGTCTGTAGGGGGTCTGAAAACTGAGAGAACAATGTAAATATGGTTTGTACATTTCAGGCTTGCGCTTCTCATAATAACTAACTTGTGTCTTTGATTTGTTGCGGCGACTTCATTCTGTTGCAGGAGGTGAGTGTTAGGTTAGGTTTGTCAGCTTCTTTAACCATCATACAACCTCTAGACCAACTTGAAATAATTAGGGCTTTAAAAATCTCAGTTAAATGTTCTAAAACATGCCTTATTGTTTTAAAAAATCAATCTCCAAAACATTTTGACCAGTTTGACTGGAATTGAATAATTATTTGTCATTATAAGTAATTATACTAGGGACCACAAGAATCTGCAGTTGGCGGCAGCCAATAGCAAGACTGGACTAGTGCGATGTTGCAACATCGCCCGTTCACTAATAAAATATACTAAACAATATTTTCAAATCAGCTGGTATTATTAGATTTGGCAACCCCGCACTGTCCTCATTGGCTCCTTCGAAGTCACATGGTAAATAGGCTCCTCCCTCAACTGCAGACTCTTGTGGACCGTACTGTAGTGAATTATATTAATTTGTATTTATCTTTGGTTTTGTTATGGCTCCCTTATTTATTTTTTTAATTACTTATTCAAAAAGAGTATAAAATGTTAGAAAGGTTGTTACGTCAAAGAGAAGTTTTTTTTTATCATTGGTTTACTTCTGCCCGTAGTACCTAACTGATCATAACATGTAAAGTGGTCTTGTAATATTGAGAATATTAAAATATGCTTATCAAAAAATGTTTAGTTGGATATTTTTGAGTTTTCAATTTTTACTTGATTTTATGATGGTTAAAGGGGTTTAATCCATGTAATTTTAGTGAGTGCCCCATTAAGAATACCTTAACTTAGTAGCCTATCTATATAAGCTTTGTACTATGTTCGGATCTTATTTATAAAAAATGGTGAAGAAATCATAGCTTTTGCTAAATTAGGTATCCTGTTAGGCTAGTTGAGTAGTTTATTACCTCTAAGAAAGGCGTTGTCCATCCTAAAATTGTACCAATCATTTTCCTCATAAATTATCTCATAATTTTAATGTTATAGAATGTTGAAGAACTGTAGATGCTATCAATTTTGTTTTTTTTTTTTCTTTAGTCAAACTATTGGTTGATACTGAAACAGTGCATGGCTAGTCTTGTGGTTAAAGTTCTGGACTTAGGTTCTGGGTTAAAATTTTGCCAATCACCTATCCAAAAACCCTGGTAATTTGCTATATGTAATGTCAGGGCATTATCACACGGAGGTTTGAAATCCACCTTGAGGTGAAAGTTCAACTTCCAAGTAAACAATAGCTAGTTATCTTAGCCATGGAAAATCAGTTTCTCAGCTATTTATTATTTGTATTGTTTGTATTTATTTTATTTGTTAATAGTTCTGAGGTAGATTTTCAATTTATCAAGTTGGTTTTTGCTTTATACAAAATTCAAAGATAAGCCTAATTTAAACCTCTGCGTTTCAAACACTAAAGATTAAAATTTCCCTCAAAATGGTTTAAACCTTGCCAAAAGCACATTCGATACTAAATCAGCTGGGCGAAACTTCAGTATCCAATCAATGGTAAGACGTGTTATACATACATTGTACAAGAATGTTACATGTTTAGTATGACTGAAAGCATGAATGGTGTTGGGGGTTGGGGGTTCTACACATAACACAAACACTGCCTGTTCATCTAGAAACACTCATCTAATGCTTCTATTGCATGGGACACTGCACGACTTGTAATTAAAAACTGCTTAAACAATTGTTCATTGTAAATAAATTAAAAGTTTTCTTCTTAAAACCATACAGGAATATTTCAAACAGCCTCTTAATCAGTGAGATGAGATTTTAGCGTGATTTAGTCAACGAGTAAAGTTGTATGTACTGTATTTTTAATCAAACAATGGCGAAATATTTGTATTACATGGTAGATCTGGCTGATAGTGAGTGCATCAGAGGTCGAAATACTTTTTTACACGTTTATTTGTTAAGAAACTCTACACTTTGTTTTTTTTATGTGTGGATTGTTTGGACTTTAGACTCTTTAGGGTGACTTTAACCAAACCTCTACTGGTAATTAGGAATATTAGAGGTCTTTTATTTTTAAATGTGTGTAAAAATGCAATTTCCACATGCTACTAGTTTTATTTTGAGATACGACTGTGATTGTCAGTTTTATCATGAATGCTGTTAAATCAATCAACCATTCCATATAGATTTTAGCTTATATTTTTATCCAACCTCTCACTAACTGACGATTTCTGGATTGTGAAACAGAAGCAGCAAGAGATAAACAAGAACAAGGAGGTTATAGTGCTCGACCCGAAGCGATCGAACGCAATCAACATTGGAATGACCAAGTTGCCTCCTCCTAGGTCCATCAAGACGGCCATCCTCAAGATGGACGCAACCATCATGAACAGAGAGGGCATAGAGGTTAGTCAGGCACGGAATGTGCGGTAAATTGTAAATATCTTAGTGCTGAATATGTTTGAAGGATTTTTTACAGTGTAGAATAGAAATTCTACACCGACATGTTAGTCTCAGAACCACTTGAGACAAAATGAACCTCTGGAACTTTCTGGTGGCTGTTTCTGTTCTTTTACATTATTGGCAATTTTTTTTACATTTTAAATTTTTGACGTTGACAGAAACTTCTGACAATGTTGCCGACTGAAGAGGAGTGTTCCAAGATCCAAGAGGCCCAGGCTGCCAACCCTGAGATCCCATTGGGCAGTGCTGAGCAGTTTTTGTTGACTCTTGCGTCAATATCCGAGCTACCAGCACGGCTGAAACTGTGGGCTTTCAAACTAGACTTTGAAAACAGTGAGAAGGTTTGTAAAACACAAATCCTAATTCAGAAGAATATTGGCATCAAATTGGTGTCTCCTCCTGGATAAAAGACATAAGTTTTAGTCGTTGCAATATTGAAAAAGTTTATTTAATTATTAACCTTCATCAAAAGTGCATTCCTTACAACTTTTTGTGATACCTATTATTATTTTACAAGTTAAAATATTTTTTTTCTAAACTATGTCACTCAATGATAGGTCATCAATTTTCAGTTTGTGCAATAGATTTATCTTATATATTAAAATCTGTATGAAATTTGTTGTAGATTATAATCAGATTGTTTATGCCTAAATTGTATTAAACAGGCACTTGTTTTGTCTTAGGAAATTGCTGAACCACTTATGGATTTGAAACAAGGAATTGAAACCTTGAAGTCAAACAAAACTTTCCGCGCAGTTTTGGGAACACTGCTTTCAATTGGCATATTTCTGAATGGAAACGAGGTATACTGAAATTTTTTTATAAATATTATATTAATAATAGCATTAAAGCCATGTTAGCACTAATCCATTGAGCAGGCAGGTTATCTTCCACAGGTAACTTGAAATACACCCACTGGCACATTGGCTTTGTGTAAACGGGCTTAAGAGCTTGAGACACATCTCTATATTCAGATTATTATCACACAAATTGAACAGCATTTGATATAATCAGATAACAGTACTGCATTTTGATACTGCAAGTAGGTTTCTCTTATTCTTAAGTGTGCAGTCTGTTTGATATTCGGTAATACGTAGAGTGAGGTTAGTGGACCTTGTAAATATACTAACACTGAAATGGTCGTTATAAGCTATAACCTTTAAATAAGTAAAATAACCAGAAACATATTTTAGATCTGAGAGCATTCTGGTCAAGACATATAACTTACTGGTACCTAAAGTTCTTGTCACCTTAACTTTTAATGGTTCAAAAATGTAATATACGTATTATTATTTGCCTTATTGCTTAGTAAACAAAAGTTCATCAAATAAAAACGAATGTTGATTTCAGGTGAAAGGGTTCCAGATAGAGTACTTGGCTAAGGTTCCAGAGGTGAAAGACACAGTTCACAAACATTCTCTGCTGCATCATTTGTGTCACATGGTCATGGACAAGTTCCCTGACTCAACAGATCTATATTCGGAGGTTGGTTCTTAGTTTTTACACTCCTTAATTACCCTTTGGTTTTTTCATTAATATTCATAATGAAATTATTGTACAGGTTTAGTAGACATCATCATCTCAAACGTAATCGTCGTCTTGTACAATCGCGGCGAAATCATGAATATCTCCCGCACCCATGTAGACATCATAATCTTCTCCACACGGTCACGGAAACCTCATCGTCGTCTTGTACAATTGCGACAATAGCGGTAATTTTCCAATCACAAGATCTTTGCAGACGTATTGGTATTGGAATTGACTTTGACGATCGATTCTCGATACCGATAGATACTTCAGTATCCAAAAGTCGATGCATAAACTTAAACTTAACTGTTTAAGTTGGCCTCTTAAATATTCCTAACTTTTCCAATATGATTTCCAGATCGGAGCTGTGACCAGAGCCTCCAAGGTAGACTTTGATGAGTTGACCAGCAACATTATGAGGCTGGAGACAGAATGTAAAGCTTCCTTCGACAATCTCAAAGTCATCACGAAACACGACGGCTCATGCACCAACATGAAAGTCAAGTAAGAGTTACAACTATTGTTAGGGAAAATAGGAACAGATACACTAATTCACCTAGGAATGAGTTCCAGGCAGCTGATTCAACCCAACAAGTTCAGAACACAATTAACTTTTAACCTTTTTTCTATCCATAATCTTTCTGGAACTTTTTCCTTGTGATTCCTATGTGCATCCATTCTCTTTTAGATGTTTGTAAGCAAAATACTTGTTTCTTTAAACATTTTTATAAAATGTAAGTATACATTTGAAGCAAAAGTCTTTATCATCCAAGAAATTTTTTATTTTTTCCATTTAAAGTTTCACAAATTGGATATATTTCCAGAATGTCAGACTTCTTGGCGGACTGTGCTGAGCGTATTATTGTACTGGGCAAGGTCCATCGACGAGTGATGAACCGTTACTTCAAGTTCTGCCTGTGGCTGGGCATTCCGTACCATCGAGTGCAGGCAACCAAGCCCAATGAGCTGTGTCGAGTCATCTCTGAGTTTGCACTCGAGTACAGGACAACTAGAGAGAGAGTCATGCAACAGTTGGAAAAGAAAGCGAGTCACCGAGAGAGAAATAAGACTAGAGGGAAGATGATTACTGAGGTAAGTCTCGCCTGGATATTCAGTAAGTACGCTTTTCTTTTTTGTTTTCCTGTTTTCACATCCTAGGACGCTAGACTCTAGTACAGAACATTTTTAATGATTACTTCAGGCTAGGGCATTCCGAGAGTCATGACATTTATCACACAGCCATTGGTTAAAATCCATTTTTGATTGGTGTGATACAAACCTTAAACCTCATCTGCATGACTCATTGCATTTCTAGTAGCTCCAAATACCAAGCTAAAAGGAAATTTAAGGACTAGCACGTCCTCTGATCAGCTTATTCAGCTGTATGTTCTATTTGAATAGCAAATTAGCTACAGCTGGTATGTATAATTGGCATGCCTATTTTATTATCCAAAAGTCTGTGATTACGTGTGAAAACACATTTTAGATGTATCACTGTAGAAATAGCAGATGTAAAATATGGTTTCCACATTCTTAGTTTAGCTGCAAACATAAAAGCCCTAAATTGTGTCATCATGTTCTAGATGGGTAAGTTCCGTCGAGAGGATGACAGGGCAGATGCTGAGCTGAGACAGCTATTGGGCAACGATTCTGCGGACAACGAAACATCCCTGACTGGCTCACTGCCGTGGCGGAGAACTCGCAAAGATACTGGTAGGTGGTATTCATAGAGTAAAATATACTTGCCCAACTCTTTGAAAAAATTGTATTATTTTTAAAATTTGTCTATTGTTTTGTAATTTGTCTTAAAGTCAATCTTTATTCAGGAAAGCTATCTTTGGGAAACATGAGAAACGACGGGACGAACGGGAATCTAACAGACGCTGACGATGAGATTCTCGAGTCACTGGTAAAAACTGCAACACAAATCCCAGCCACACGGACAGCCCCGCGTGAGAGGAAGCGCACTCGTCACGCTGACAGGAAGTCACGTAAGTTGAACCTTTCAAAGTGTCGTAACTGAATCTAATATGGAAACAATAGTGATTTCAATTAATTAGTTTGTCAGGCATTAAAATGAATTATCTTTGTCGTTAAACATGTTTAAAAGTTCTGAAAGTTATTTTATAATTTACAGTACCAAGCTTCAATTTGGAATTTTGTTGTTTATTTTTTATTGCTAAAAGTCTAGGTTACTCTAGGAATCTCTATCTCCAAGAGGATCAAAGGATGTGCAAGTCGTACGCAAAATATTATTTTTATAAAAGATTTGTTTTTATTGTTATTTTTCAACCAAAACCTTACACATTCAAGTCAATCCTGAAAATATTGAACATGCAAATTGAAAAAATCTCTTAATAGTTTGTCTTGAGTCTTGAGTGTTACATGTGTGTAATTGTATATAAATCCATGACAAAATAAAATAAGTTTTCTCTTAAAAATCTAGCTGGAAATATTACATTTTCGTTCTTCATAGCAATAAAATAAAATAAATTTTAAAAGAATTTTAACAAAAACATTTTATGTACAGTCATTCTCTCACGTGTCCCTTATCGCTTGCACATCTTTCTTACAACTTATGCTTATTGACAAATCAGCTGTGAAAAGTATTGTGCTAAAGCTGGATTGCCGTCTTTCAAGGATCATTTATTGATTTGGGCCTAAGAGAGGGGGGAATGTGATCGCGGGTGAGGACCCCGTAGACCGTCTCCGTTGCCGTTACATTGTCTAACTTCATCGTTTGTTGGTGCAGTCATCAAGCGGTCTCGTACTCGAGACAATGTCCCTGTCGAGGGCAACGAGAGCCAATCATAAAGTGACAACGGTAAAGCGAACCTCGTTCTGTACATAGTAGATATCGACCCGTTCTCAGACTGTTCTCAGGTGGGAGCGGTCGATATGTGTTTGAGTTTTACTGTTTTTGCTGTTTAAAGTTGATCGCTTTTGTTTATTTTGTTGTTAAGCTTTTTTAACGTTTGGGTTTTAGTTTTTATTGTTGTTCTAACCACAACAGTGTGTGTTTTTATGTTTGCAATCATGTTTTACTATAAGAGATCAAATTTCCTACATTCAACCTTAAAATGACTAGCATTAACTCAGTGTTCTATTGGCTAATATGAATGTTTGTAGATGCTATACAATTAATTTTTTACTTTTTCAACTAATCGATTGTAGAAATCTTTTGACTTTTTAAGAACTCGAATTGACCTTTGGATACAGTAGATAGACCTCCTATCAATAAGGACCAGCTTTAGCCACTTTTTTATTTTGAAAGAATTTTTTAAATTTGCAACTCACAGCGTAGTACCAAATGTGTTTTCCCTCCTCGTTTTACTAACTATAATAGGTAATTAGAAGAAAAAAAAAACTGCTCTAGCTTATTATCAACCATCCTTAAAGTTTAGTTTGACATGATTGAAAATTAGGTGTATGAAACAGAAAACATTATTAAACTTCAGCTTTCTGTTTAATTTGCTCCAACTTAAATTTTCTTTGGAAAATTTACCTATAATAGCTTTTACCGCTGTAGTTTTCATGGTGAAAATCACATTTTTATGCAGATGAATCCCGAAGTATTGATTAAGCATTTTGTTTTTTGGTTGAAGTTTTCTTTTTTATGAACGTGTTTGGATAGAGAACTTAATGAGGGAATGTTGCAATGTGATGTATTCCTCAAAGTAATGCATTCTCATAAGTACGTAGTTTCAACAATCAAGGATCCATAGTGTGGTGTATTAATTTAATTATAAAATGAATTATATATTTCTAATTCAGATTCAAATATTACAAGTATTAAATTTGCTAGCTCGATCCATGTACCGTTAGATATCGTACGATGTGACGTCATATGGCCTGATCGAATAAACTAACCCCATTGGTTGTTTCCATCACACCACCTTCCGTTCCCACTGCTACCTCGATCACCCGACACACTCTGTACAACAGTCATCGTCCTACCTTACCGGCTCCCGCACACCAATGCGGTTTTTCTTAACGTAAAATGTCTTAATTATTTCGAGTATCTGATCCTCCTTAGCTCGCATCCAGGTTCGGATGCGACAATGGCGACGAGTGCGACAACCTACTGCGTGGATAAAGGAAGCGCGTTTTACAGTACAGTGTCATTGTTTCGGTACGTTACATGCCACTAGACGGCAATTTTTACACCGCGTTCGGTAAATTAACGTTGACAGAAGAAGAAGTTACTACAATGAGTGTCATCGGAAATTTCGGGCCGTTCGACAGTTCGGAGGAGACGTGGTCTACATACGTGGAACGTTTTGAACTTTACATAAAGTGTAATGGAATTTCGGACGACAAGAAAGTAAGTGCGTTTCTAACAGTAATCGGAGTTAAATCGTACAATCTGCTGAAAGACTTAATTACGCCTGAAAAACCATCGGAGAAGTCGTTTAAGGACATTGTGAAAGTGCTACAGGATCATCTTCATCCTAAACCCTCGTTTATCACGGAGAGGTATAAATTCAGCAAGCGCGACCAACTGGAACACGAGACTATTTCGGAATACATCGTTCATTTAAAGCAATTATCAAAGCATTGCCAGTTCGAGGACAAGTTACCGGACTATCTCAGGGACCGATTAGTGAGCGGTATTCGGAATAATTCGATTAAGAAGAGACTACTGGCGGAGGACAACCTGACGTTTACCAAGGCGGAGCAGCTGGCGACATCGCTAGAGACAGCAGAGAAGGACGCAGCATCCCTGACGTACCACGGCGGCAGCGGCAGCACGGGGACAGCTATGAGGCTTCAGAGATTCTCCTCAGCGCAACGACCTCAACGCAGCAAACAATCAAGTGCATCAAGTGCCGTTCCAAGTGTTGTGCAATCTACAGAGTGCTATTGTTGTGGAAAAAAGGGTCATTTAACGCACCAGTGCTATTTTCGTGAATACGTGTGCAATTTTTGTAGAAAAAAAGGTCATTTGGAGAAGGCATGTAAATCAAAAAAGAGGGGTAAGTCCTATCATTCTACCTCTAAAAATAGTTCAAATGCCAAGGTTAATTACTCCAAAAATACTCAGGGTAACAGATACCAACATAAACAATATTATGTGGAAGTAGATGAATCTAAAAATAACGATAAAGTTGTAAATGATGAGGTATATGACATTTCTAATATTTTTCAAACTGACAGTGAACTAATTGTTAATGTAAATCAGGGTATGGTCAACAAAATTGAACCTATTAAAATAGATTTGCAAGTACAAGGTAAACAAATGAGATTTGAAGTAGATTCAGGTGCTTGTGTTTCTGTTGTTTCGGAACAATTTTACAATAAGCACTTAAGTGATGTAAAACTAAACCCCACAGATCTAGTTCTGAGTTCCTACACTCATGAAAAAATCAAACCTGTAGGTAAAATCAATGTTAATGTTAAGTACAAATCAGTAGAAAAATGCCTATCATTGTATGTTATAACCAATGGTGCTAATCCTCTAATTGGTCGGGATTGGATTAAAGATCTCCAAATTGTTGTTAGTATTCCCAACAATGTAAATAGTGTAATGTCGACTTCAAATGAAGTAAAAGTAGAATCAGGTAATGAGTCTAAAGTTGTGCGAGATTTATTAAACGAATTTCCAGAGGTATTTACCACTAAGCTAGGCTGTTACAATGGAGATCCTGTTAAGTTAAAGCTCAAATCAAATGTAGTACCTAAGTATTACAAACCAAGACCTATACCTTATTCTTTAAAAGACAAAGTAGAACAGGAATTACAATGTTTAGTTGACGATGGTATCATTTCCACTATTTCAACTAGTGATTGGGGTACACCTATTGTTCCCGTACTAAAACGTAATGGCAAAATACGCATTTGCGGTGACTTCAAAGTTACCTTAAATCCATATCTAGAAGTAGATAGACATCCTATACCTCGCATTGAAGATCTTTTTGCAATCTTACAGAAAGGAAAACAATTTTCTAAAATAGATTTATCATCAGCCTATATGCAACTTAGGTTAGACGATGAAAGTAAGAAACTTTGTACCATAAGTACACACAAGGGGTTATTTGCATATAACCGACTTTGTTACGGAATATCTTCTGCTCCTGGTATTTTCCAACGGGTAATTGAGCAAACACTACAAGGTATCCCGGGTGTAGCTTCATTTCTTGATGATATTATTGTTACCGGAGCTGACACAGCTGAACACCTGTCGAGACTAAGAGAAGTGTGTAGTAGGCTAAAGACAACAGGGTTAACTGTTAGTAAAGATAAATGTCAATTTTTCAGTGATAGCTTAGAGTACTTAGGGTACGTAATTAGCCAAGAGGGTCTTGCCACATCCAAAGATAAAGTCAAAGCCATTGTAGAGGCACCGGTTCCAAAAGATGTTACACAGCTCAAGGGTTTTCTAGGTCTAGTTAATTACTATGCAAAGTTTGTACCAAATGTTGCTACCATTCTAACACCCTTGTATCAATTATTAAGGAAAGACGTAGTTTTTAAATGGTCTTTGTCATGTCAAAAGGCGTTTGAAGCTATAAAAGAAAGATTAGTTTCAGCTAATGTGCTAGCGCACTACAACCCAGACTTGCCAATTAAATTGTCATGTGATGCGTCACCCTACGGCATCGCAGGAGTGTTAAGCATTGTTGACAAAAATGGAATAGAAAGACCAATTTCATTCACTAGTAGAGTACTAAACTCAGCAGAAAGGAACTATTCTCAAATAGACAAAGAGGCACTAAGCATTGTTTTCTGTGTAAATAAATTCAATCAGTATTTATGGGGCAGGAAGTTCACTCTTTGTACAGACCATAAACCACTATTAGCTATATTTGGTTCGAAAAAAGGGTTACCAGCATTTGCAGCTGGCAGACTACAACGCTACGCGTTATTTTTGTCAGGTTACGATTACGACATCAATTATGTTAAGTCACAAAATCATGGTAACGCGGACGGATTGTCTAGACTTCCGCTAAATTGTAATGACAGGGAAGAAAGTAATGTAAATATTGATTATTTAGGAACATATCTCCAATGTATATCAGAGTGCGATGTACCAATAGATTTTAATGATGTACGTAAGGAAACTCAAAAAGACAGTGAGTTAAACAGAATCCTTGGATATGTTTTGTACGGCTGGCCAATCAATTCGGACGTTAATCTAAGTGACTATGTCAAAAGGCAAGCTGAGCTAACAGTTGAACACGGAATACTAATGTGGGGCTATAGAGTAGTCATTCCAAGATCGTTAAGAGGGGCTTTATTAAAAGAATTACATAATGGACATCTAGGAGTTGTAAAAATGAAGTCGTTAGCCAGGTCGTATTTATGGTGGCCTTCTATTGATAAGGATATTGAGGCCGTGACTAACAGTTGCTCAGCGTGTCTTGCACAGCGGGAATCTCCTGTTAAAAGTAAACTTCATGTATGGGAATTTCCTCCCAATGTTTGGCAAAGAATCCATGTCGATTTCCTTGGACCATTAAAAGGACAAATATATTTAATTGTACTAGACGCACATAGTAAATGGATTGAGGTAGAACTTGTTAGTTCCACTTCAGCCAAACAGACCATTGACAAACTCAGGCCTATGTTTTGTAGATTTGGCTTACCAGAAATAATAGTTAGTGATAATGGTCCACCTTTTTGTTCTGAGGAATTTTCTAAATTTTTGAAACAGAATGGAATAAGACAAATCTTGACTCCACCTTACCATCCAGCTTCTAATGGCCAAGCTGAGAACGCGGTAAAATCAGTAAAGAAAAGATTAAAATGTGCAATCTTTGAAAATGAGGATGTAAATATAGCTTTAAGTAGATTTCTTATCTCTTATCGTAACACAGTCCATAGTACCACTTGTGAATCTCCCGCCAAACTTATGTTTAATCGACCATTAAGAACTAGGTTAGATTTAATCAGACCAAACATTCAGTCAACTGTTGCTCAAAAACAAGAGAAACAGGTCATAAATGCAAGGGGTACTCATACTAGACAATTAGCTATAGGACAATGTGTACTAGCTAGAGACTATAGAGGGAAGGATAAGTGGGTTGAATGTACGGTTGTTAGACGACTAGGGCCAGTTACATACATTGTACAACTAGAGACAGGCTCAACTTGGAAGCGACACATAGATCAGCTGGTAGGCTTGCAATCAGGCAGCAACATCAACACGGAACATAGCAGATACTACGATCCCGTGACGTCAACATCAGCTGTTACTACTTCCTGTGTATCGTCAGCACCGGTGTCGTCACCAGCCAGGCCGCCCCACCAGCACACCCAGCCTCAACAGCTGAGTTCTCCCACTACTACGCGGCACTCACCAACTACACGCCAGTCCGAGCGGCATAGTCCTATTGTTGCGAAACGCCATTCTTTACAACCCGATCAGCTGACTGCTACGTCACCTGTTACAACTAATACTAGGCGATATCCACAACGGGATAGGAATCCTCCAAAGAAAATGGATTTGTAATTGTTTGTTATGGTTTTATATTTACGCTTGTTTGCAATTCTATTGTGTTTATTTTCAGCAATGATGTTTCAATAATTTTGTGTTTATTTTCAGCACCGATGTTTACAATCTTAAATGTTGTTTTTTAACTCTGATGTTTTCAAATTGTGTTTTTATTTTCATTACTGATTTTTTCAATTTGTGTGTATACATTTTTCCATAAAAATGTTATACAAGCTATGTTCAAAAGTAAGGGCGGAGGAAATGTGGTGTATTAATTTAATTATAAAATGAATTATATATTTCTAATTCAGATTCAAATATTACAAGTATTAAATTTGCTAGCTCGATCCATGTACCGTTAGATATCGTACGATGTGACGTCATATGGCCTGATCGAATAAACTAACCCCATTGGTTGTTTCCATCACACCACCTTCCGTTCCCACTGCTACCTCGATCACCCGACACACTCTGTACAACAGTCATCGTCCTACCTTACCGGCTCCCGCACACCAATGCGGTTTTTCTTAACGTAAAATGTCTTAATTATTTCGAGTACCTGATCCTCCTTAGCTCGCATCCAGGTTCGGATGCGACACATAGTAGTTGAAGTTGATGCACGATAATGACAGTGGGAACATTCTTGCATCAGTACACTCCTTCTTCGTTGTTTGGGTGATTAGTTTGTTTATATGTTTTGTGTTCTGTTCAAAACGTTCCATTCTGATGAGCTGTTACCCTGACAAACCATAGGAATTATTGATTTTGCCTATTGTCATAATGTTTTCCCCACTTTCTATAGACACAAAAATCATTATCAGCGATTTTTAAGACTACTTCTAAAATATGCACCTTGGTGGCGTCCCTATCTCAACAATTGAATTGAATTGATATTGATTTAATTTTTAATAATGTGTTTGAAAGAAAAATATAGGTAAACTTAGGATAGTCAGGTCTCGAAATTTCGGGAAATTTTAAATCTCGTTCTACGAGATGAGATTCTATTTTGGTAAAGATTTTTTTCAAGACGAGATTTAACAAAAAAATTTTTTATTAAAAAATTAAAATTTTTTTTACCTGATACTTAACTAGTAATACTGTTGTTTTAGACTTATAAATTTTAATATTTTTCAAAGTTGAACTATATACCAACTGATATCTCCATATTTCCTATGCCGAAGAGTTATTTTTAATAAGTTAGGCCTTATTAATATATATAATACTTATGTTTTCATTAATGTTTTTTAATAAAAGATTTTTAATATTTTTGTCTATTATTATTATTTTTGTATTTAACCAGTGTCTGACATAAATCAGTAGGTATTTAAAAATATTTAATAAAAAAATCAGGTTAAAATGTGGAACGTGCATTAACCATTATGTATGAGAAGGGAAATCCCGTCTCGATCTCGTCTCAAAATTTTATGAAAAATATAAAAATCCCGTCGCGTCTCGTCTTGAACTAAAATCCAATCTCGTCCATCCCTAAACATATAGGATAAGTAAACTCTTTATACATCATTCATCGAACATATTTTATCAAGAAAGTATTCATGTATTTTTTCACAATGTATCCAGACAAATTTTACTCACCAAACAAGGTTTCATAATATTAAATATTTTTGGTTTACCTTCCAGTTCGCCGAACTCTGCGCAACGGATTGTCCGAAGAAGAACGAAAACATCTGGCTACGTTTATTAAGGGCTATTGAGTCTCAATCAGCAACGTCTGAATGTTTGTATATCTGTGATACTGGTGACCTTTGTTGTAATTTAATTTGTTTTACACTTTTGTGGGTTAAGCTAAAATCTTTTTAACTATTTTAACTATCTAAATATTTAGAGCAATTTGCATCAAGATTTTCTTCTCGTTTTATCCTAAAACATAGGTAGATCAGTAGTCGGATTACACAAAATACTTGATTCAAATTTTAATTCTGTAGGTCACATGTCTGCCTTACTGAACAAAATGTTTTAAGATTGTACAGTTGTTACTTTATGACTTTGTTTTATGAGTTATCGTTAATGTGATATGAGGTTATTTATGTTTGTGTTATGTAGCATAAGTGAACTATCAATAAGTTTAAGTCAAAAGTGATGTGATGGACTTTTATACATGTATATTGTATATATTTTCAAGTCTCATTGTGATGGGAGACTGATCAATATGGATATCTCAGGTTTGATATTTTCCATGAAAACTATTTGATGAAATCAAATAATAAAATGTGTTCGGTAGCCAACGTGGCAAAAAGATTTTTACTCGAGTGATGTTATCGACTAGTCGTAAATGTCTTAGGTTTGTCTGTTAATATCCAGATTATACTGTTTGAACAGTATTTAGAGGGGTACAGTACATTGTGTGATTTTTACTATTTTGTATTGCACTTTATAATCAAATCCTTGTTATTTTACTTGTTGAGCAATAATTTGCTCCTCCACGCAATCATCGCAATACTCATCTTTTTATACTATTTTCTAATGTGAACTATCATTATGTTGTTCAACTATTAAGATTAAAATTTAAAATTCTATTTGGATAAACAAAAAAGATTTTAACTTTTAAGTGTTTTATTTCGTTGCTATTGCTTTAGACAGTAAGTTTTAATAGAGGAATATTTTTTGTTTAAAAAGAAATTAAGTTTTCAGTTTTGATTTACAGTAGCTTTTAATTCAGACCATGTCTTATGGTCGATTTTTCTTGCAAACTTAAAAGTTTTTGAGATTTGCTTTACGATCCACAGCATTTACAAAATACCAGGATGTTCAAAACTATTTTATTCGTATTAGTTTTATCATTTCAACTTTATTTCCATCTCAATATAAAAAAGTTCCTGACTGATAAGCCTAACCAAATGTCTTCATGTAAGGTTTAGCCTAGGGTAAGTTTTCTTCTTTCAGGCATTATAATGTATAATGATTCCAGGATCAATAAAGATATTTTACAAAATAGATCTTGTTTTGTTGTAAAATTTCATTATACATAAGCGACTCCAATGAACTATCAAATTATGTCTAATTGCCTACACAACATAACATGGAATTTTTGGCTCTGTAATTCTGTGGTTGTACAGTTGAGTGTCTACCATCTGACCTTAACTGTGCACGGTAGGTTCGGGTAAGTGGAAAGTTGACTAACAAAGAAAATTCATTTTCAAATGTATTGTAAACATATATAAAATCATCAAATTATTAATTTACTTTTTTAAACCTATTCAAGGCTTTAAGATATTTTTGATTCAAACCATTATCACAAATAACCAAAATATCCTAAAAAGGGTATTCAATATTGTAACTGTAAAATAAAGCTCTACTTGACCTCTAAGCCAGAAGTAAAAGATATGAGGGTGTCAGAGAGGGATGCAGATGTGAGGAGTTCAAAACCTTTTGTTGTTGTGTTGATCTTTTGTGTTGTGTAATGTATTGTAAAAAGTCGACAGGAACCAGAATGTTCGCTTATTTATTATGATTTGACCTCTAAGAAGGTGCTGAAGATTGCTTGATTAAGCCGAAACAGCTGTACACTGAGTACAAAACTGGATTGCTTCAAGACGGTAAGTCTTGTATATTATTACATTTAAAAAGCAAATCCTGTTCAGCCAACTTCAAAGTATATATATAAGTTCAAAACCTGTTCATGCTACTCAACGCAGTGCACAAAACAATGAGAAAGTACAGTAAAGTGCTGATACCTAAAGCCTGACATGTATTTTCTGAGTATAGTTATGGGTAGCAACAGGTGTTTTCCAGATGTACCCGCCATAATGTACAGTCTTACCACACGGGTCTAATTTCATGGCACTAGATTGTGCACAGAGAGGGTCAAATAAAATGGAAGGTTAGATAGCCGAAGATCAGCTAATCAAGACTCAAAGCCCTATAGTATGCAGTTACGTCTTTGACATCAGCATGCACTGCATTAAGCCCGTGAAGTAGCCTAAGGGCTACTCTACTTCTAATGGCCACCAGCTCTAGCCTATAAACTGTTTTGCATCAGTAACTTTCATGTCCGCTTTAAAATGCTCGCTACCGATCGTCACATATATGCGGTCAATACCACGGACTGAGGTATACATTTTTATATCACACATAGACTAGGTGTCACTTGTTTAACAGTACATGCAGACCTTGGGCCAGTGATGCAGCAGAGTAAAAAGAAGTTTTACCAGCTACAGCTATCATATGAAGTCACTAATCATCATATCCACAGACCAAGTGACGCACATGTGTTGCAGACATCCCTGTAGAACACTGCAGAGAATTCAAGGCCTTCAAATTGACCGTTTCGAAGATATAAGCTTTTTTATTAACATGCAAACACCGACTCAATTAAGTGTCGTCAGTCTATTTTAATGTGACCAGCAATCGCATATATGTGACGGCAGTCTATGGATAGAAAGCAGCCATCGAATATGTACGTCACTGGTCCATATGAATGAAAAATTTAGCACTATTGCGGTAGCGAACTTGTTAAGTTAGTCTTACATAATCATAGGACTTCATTTTCTTTCTCGATGTTCAAAGTAAGGTTTTTTTTCTGGATGACTTTAAAACCACATAAGCTTAGATGATAAGGAAGGGTTTACTGTAGTTAAACCTTTTTACACTACTTACATAGTGTACAATTGTGTATTCATTATTCATGAACAGTGATGCTCTACAGTTTTACTTCTTGTAAGGCTATTATTCGTGAAGAATTTACCCTACAAGAAGACAGAGTGTGGTTTTCTACTTAAAATGGACAAGGAAACAATGTAAAAACAACAATACACCATAACAATCACAGTATTTGTTTATTTAACAGTGTACAATAATAAATTATACTTCTATAAACAAAATCAACATCAAAAAAGATAGAGCTGTTATATTACCATTGTGTGATAACAACAGGATGTCAGTTTAAGATATGACAGGGCTTAGATTGTACCTTACACACATCCTTAAAGGCTTTAATGCTCAATTCAATATAATTATGTATTTTAAACACATTCAATCCTTCAAATATAGTTAGACCTCAGAATGAATAACAAGTAATTAATAGGTAAGCACACAGATGTTATTGTCAATGGATTGTTTATTCATATTTTCTACAAATATGTTTTTCTCTTTGTTATTATGTAGGTAAAATAAAATGTATACAATCAAATTGTTGGATCATGGATTTATATATTTAGGTTACCAGTAATGCATATTTTATTTCTTGTGCCACTATTGTCCTACGACACTAGGCAAAAGCCTAGGATTGTTTTTCACTTTACTTCAGGCTAGACCTAGGGGATGCGGCATTATCACTTAGATAAAATCCATTGGTGATTTGGCGGGATTTGAACCCAGGACCTAAGGGACTGAAGTCCCACACTCTAACCACTAGACCAGCTTGCTCCCCCATGGTCTTAAACATAGAATGAATTAAGAATTTTGGGTATAAAATAACTTTAGGAGCTAAGGCAAGGCAATGTATTGCAATTTAACTGATAACTTAACTGAATGCTTATTATATGACAAATATTTAATTGACAACACATTATGTTTATATATCTTCCCAAGTTTTGTCTTTTGAAAAAAAAAGTTTTTTCAACCATTAATGTTTGATGCTTTAATAGCATATAATAACATTGCTGTCTAGACTGAATCTAGCTTGTATAATTTTTAAGGAATTATGTACACTAAGGAATTGAAAAAAATGAAGGAATTAAGTATAGTAACTGTCAGTAAAAATAGCTCCTTTAGGGAAATTTTATGGGAGTTGATTTTCTTTTGTATTTTGGTATGATGAACCCAAATTTGATTTTCACAAAAAAAATCCTAAAAATATCTTTAAAAATTATTATTCACCCCTCTTGGATTATTATTAGTAACTCTTGGATAAACCTTTTTTTCTTTCCTTGAATATCTATATGTGTATCTAAACATTTTTATAAATCTAATGTTTGCACCGCTGCAGCAAAAACAGCTGTTTTCAATATAGGCGTTGCAGGGCTAAAATCTTGACTCACTGAAAAAATCTAGTTTGCCTTAGCAGCAAGCAAACTTGCTTGGTTTTCTGGTATTCACACAAGCAAATTATGTGGTTATTTGTGCATGTTAATGCAACATGGATTGGTTTGATGTATTGAAATATGTCTCATCTTATTAGGGAGCATGTATCCAGTAGCTTTAATACACATCATCAGTAATTTACATAATTCAAGGTAATGGCTTACTTGCAGCTATTATTGCTACTACTAAAGACTGTCTGGTCCGGATTTTTTTTTAGTTTTTTATGTTGTAAATCTAAATGTTCGAAATACCTTAAAAATAAAACGGTAATATCTTGAACAATGGTAATTTGTTATTATACCTTAGGTATTATATTTGGGAGGTCACTCTTATACAGCGGGCTGCGGTGGTTATGTTAGGTTGGGTTATCATAAATAGAAATGTTGAGCAACCTTCACAACCACTCAAATGTCCTGCCAGTCATGGGAAACTAAGATGGCTGGTTAATTCATGGGACATGGGAATAAGGCCCCTTGTGCGGTATGGTGTTAAGTATTAGTGGTATTAGTTAATATAAATTCCACCAAAATTATTAATTTCTATTTCACTTAGGCCTATTAAGAACATTAGTTTTATTTCCAGCGTCACTATTCTAGTGGCAATATTTCTTTAATTAATAGTTCAGGTTGTGTCCAGTCATTTGATCAGTAATTTTTTATATTCATTCAAGGATAATAGTATTTCCATAGTTGAAATGGTTTAATTAATGTTAGCAATCATCTTAGCTGGCTCTTTGGGCCTGTGATTCGTGGTAAGCTGTGTCCTCTGGTTAAATTTAAGGGTTCAGCCATAGTTTCCAACATGAATGATTATGTCATAACAGCCAATCAATCGAACAAATCATCATCAGCTAACCGCTACAGACAGTATGACTCATCTGGTATTGTACGATTCATAACGAAAGGAGGAAAGTCCTATTAACATATTTATGATAACCGCCGCAGCTCGCTGTAAAATTAGTGGCCTCCGTGCAATACCAAAGTACCCGAACAACTTCTTGTCACTTTGGTACTTGAGAGAATACTTTTCATTGTAGGCATACCTTTTACCTGCCACACTCATGTCCCACTCACTTTACTCAATTTTTAGATACCTTTTCCTAGTTGGATCAAGACTACACTATTCTGATAGGAGCAATTGGTAGAGAATAATTAGCGTTAAGAAAAGTTAAAAAAGAAAAGAAATCAAAACAAGGTGTACAATGTGGATGAAGTAGTACTGTAAAACATGTGATTTTCTTATTTTATTTAATTTATTTATAATTTTAATTTATTTAAATTTTAGTTTGTTAACATGGTTTTATTTATTACTCTGTATGTCCCACAAACATACATGAGAGCAATAATCTTTTATCAATTCTGAGGTATCTTAGTTATTAATGCTGCTTCAAAAAACGACAACACGGACGACATGTCAAAAATGTAAGTAGTTGCAAGTTGAAACACACAGAAATCCAAGGCTGGTGGATCGTCTTGCACTGCTGTGTGCTATGGAATGGACCTCTTTCTAACTGATTTCGGGCATGGCTTGACACATGTGTTACTTTAATCCATCTGCCATCAAGGCATGGGCTTAACACACACAAAAACGCACAAGTGTGGACAATACCTATTAAGATTTTAAAATCCTTAACTATGGCAAAATGTTAAACATCAATAACGATTCAGTATTGGTAGTTTGTATTGGCACTTGTGAAGAATATTCTGTTTTTTTTAGGTCTATGAACATTGAACAATATATGCCACTGACAAGACAAGTAATTTCAAATCATTTTCACACAGATAGCTACCAAAGAATTCACAAGTTCTTCTGCTACACAGCCAAATTACCCAACACTGTTTTCAGTTCAGAGTTTGCCAGGCTGAATGAAAACTTAACAAATTATGTTGACTGTAGTGATGCCACGATTTATGAATGGTAATAAATAACCTTTTTGTGAGATAAGAACTTAAAAGATTAGTTTGAATTATTGGCCATTAAATTTGCAGTAGACTCTTTTCTTAAAATTATAAGCACAGATATCTACAGCAACGATAGATAGATCCATAAAAAATGCTGCTGAAGAATGGTTTTTTTTTTTTATATTTAGTTGCTTTGTTGTAATCAAACATCAATAACCATCATATTTGCTGCACTATTTTAAATAATGACAATACACAACATCCACATTAAACATGGGGAAAGGTTGGTTAAACAATTGTGTATTCATTCTTTTACAAGAGTAATTTCATGAACAACCCATATCACCTTAGGTCTTCCGATATAGTAAGACTTTAGAAGACCTTCAATGATACTAAGCCCTGCGGTTGTAAGTGTGTCATATTGACAGGTTCTAAGGCACATAGCTATTGAATTAAGCAGTACAGCCAATAACGCAACGATATACGACTACAATGCATAGGCCGACCAATCACAAGCGTCCACAAGCAATCCACCTAGAGCTAGACACAGAACAACTGAATCCAGAAGAAGAACACTAATATTCATTATCCGTTTCCTACAAAAGATTCATATCGATTATCTAAAAGAGTATATTTTATTTCATTTTCCATCTAAATTCCAAACCTCTATTGGGGAACTACATCTAGCAAATAATTCAGCGGCGAACATCGTCTAAGATAGTACTCAAAGTGAATGAACACATTCCAAATACAACCTCGTGACTGAAACATGAAAAATTACGGCGTCTAACAATGTTTCGTTGGCAATAAAATAACGATCAAAAAAATATTGAAAAACAAAATTATTTTATTTGTGGCTTACAGATAAATGCTTATATAACTGATAACAATGCAAGGTAACATTTCATTAGTTATCCGACTGTTAACAGCAATCGTATAGTTTATAACAGTAACAGTATTGAAGGCGAACCATACAATGCGTACTAGAGCCACTCACGCCCTTTCATTTGATAAAACAAAACAATCAACATACTTCTTACTTAAATAACTGTTAGAGTACAATAAAATTGCTTGGCTAAACTAATTATTTACATAACAAAACAAATAATACAATATGTAGTTGTCTACTCAATATTCTTTTAAGCTGCCTAAGGCCTTTGATTTGTAAGAGTTCATTTATATTTTCTTCAATTCACTCTATAACAAGCGGTATTTCCCTACAGTAAGTTCCTTACATGGTGACTTCTTGCAAAGCAAATAGTTGTGAATTCTTTAGCCTTTAATTTATACAAAGAACTCACCTACATGTTTCAAAGTAAAGCAAAACAATTAAACTGAAACACAATATTTAGACTGACAACAGTAATACAGCAAAAGCCAAAAAAATGCAAATTTCTTCAACAACATAACTAAACAATTTTAATATGATCAATTACACACAAAAAATGATATACATTAACAAAAAATATTACCTACATATTATTAAAAGTAAAGAGACTGTTGTCTTACAGTTCTCCAACCAAACAAAGGGAACTTCTTATTTTCAACATTGCACATAAAGAGGCTTAAAGTTTAGTTTAAGTTAAATGTCTTCTAGCTTTAGCTTGATCAACAAGTCCCACAAGCAATGTCTTTTCATATTTGGAAATGAGCTTGTAAGGTATTCTAAGCCTAACGACTTAGTCTGAATTTATATGTCAATAGTGCAATTACGATTTTTCACTCAGTGATGTTTGTTTGAATATCTTAGGTTGTTTCTCTAAATCAAAATTTGTCTATATTTTAACTAAATATGAATTAACAAAACCGTTTGCTGGCAGCTTTCTCAAACATAATAGAAATTTACAAATGTTTAACCAATTGTCTTAACATGTAAATACGTCTAAGGAAAAGGCACAACATATTGAAATTTTAACAGATGTTAAAGTCAAAGAGACCAAGTTGTACAATATCCCAGCAATCATCATTAACTCACTCCTCCAAAGCACCATTCATAACAGTGGCCAAAATAGGTTAGAGTAAGCATCGGTAGGAGGCTTTATAAATTGTTGTGTACCTCTTAAGGTAAACTCCATTTTAATACAATTTTGATTGACAGGTAACACGAGAAAAAGTTAAGCTTTAAAAATATCCATGAATTATTGCCCTGTATTTTGGTTACAAATATTTAATACAGTTAACCATTTAATCTTCCAATCAAAATAGATATTACATTTTTAAAGTGTCAGACTTACTTCTCCATAACCGTACGAAAAACCAATTTTATGAAAACCAATTTGAATCTCAATACAAACAGATATTAAAACCGATGGTAAACAAGGCCGCACTCAAACAATGAAAACAAGACCTTCAATGAAACAGAACAGAATTGGCACAAAGATTCAGTCTTGTTATGTTTTGTTCTGTTACGTTTTTAAAACATCAACCAACATCAGATTCGTAAAACTAGATCGATTAATTACAAGATAAATAAGAAACAAAGGAATCAGAAAGCAAGGTATAAAATCAACCAGTTCATTGGATAATACAACACACGCCACAAGGAAATGGTCCTGTGTGACGGATGTGCATTGCAGTCTTGTATACGGAAGGAACGCCCTCGTCCCCGCCGAGGCGGTAGTACTTGTCTACCGAGCGTGCAGGGTCGCACATGTCACGTGTGTGGCTGTGGTCCCACAAGTCCCACTCTCCTGCACTCGACAGGCTGTCGAAATCGTTAGCAACCCTTTGCCCCGCATCACTATGAGATGACACAGGGAAAGGGTTGCCTCGCACGTTTTTTTGACCGGTCAATTCCTCCTCCTCGACCTCGATTCCTTCGTCACTGTCCGACTCATCTTCTGACGCCGGGCAAGTCAGCGGAGAACTCTCGTGACTGTTGAGCCACCGTGTCACTGCCTCTGTTAATGTCAATGTATTTTTCAGTCTGACCCGAGCCGCTTCCTCTTGGCCTTCTTTGATGGCTTCCTCCACAACTCTTGTGGCAGTCTTGTCTGCTGCACGACATAAGGATTTCTTTCTCCTTGGAGGTGGTACTGGAGCTAACGAATCACAATTTGAGGATAATCTCATGAGCGAATCATTAACTACTGCAATTGTTGCATCCAAAGTCTCATAGGTATTATTGAAGTTAATCCCTCCAAGAACTCCTTTGACCTTTTCACCGTCTTCAGTTACTGCTCTTTCATGGCAGTTTTCTTCGTTCTGGGCTGTTTCTGTATCAACTGTACTAAATTTCGCCTGCTGGAAAACAAAACTGATCACAAACTCTTTCACACTTTCCTCTTCAAAAATTGGCTCTTCGTACTCTTGTTCATTGAAAGTAACAATATTCAGATCTTTCTCTTGAGCAGTAGTTTCAATATAAACCTCTTGAGCAACTTCTTCATCTACTTCGGGCACCCCATCACTTCCTGAGTCAGCCTCTTCTCCACTAATAGATCTTGGCTTCACAAAAACGTGTTCAACAGGATTTTCCAACTCAGACTCGTTGTCAAATACCTCAATTTCAAATGTCTTACTAGACATTATTGGTTCTGAATCTGTCTGCATTTCACATAACGCTTCCTCATAATCTCTAATACTCTTTTCAACTTGCTCAGTGAGATCATCAATTGGACTTACAGGTACTGGTTCAATAAGTAGGGGAATCATATTTTCTTCATTGCCTAGACATGGAGAAACTTCAACATCATCCTTAATCTCTTCTATCACTGTAACTTCTTGCAACAAGCTGATTGGTTGGCTGCTGAGCATCTCCTCCTCAGTTGCATCATTTGGAACTTCCTGCTCACTCAGTAACAGATCTTTAGCAGCACTTGGAGATGATAGGCAACTTAAGGTAGACTCTTGTGATGAGAACTCTGGTGCAGCAGCACAGAGGTTGGGAGTGACATCGTCGTCTGCTGCTGACAGTTCCTCCACTACTGGGACCTCGGCGTCCAGTGTCGGTGTCGCTGCCTCACAGTCGTCCACACTTTGACCACTCAGTGGTGAGTATAGGTGTTGGTGTTGTTGGTGTTCTAGGGGGGGAGAGTTTGACCCACTGTTGGTGTTGATGCCTGAGTCAGAGTTTGGTCCGACGCCTGCATCACTGCTTGCACCTGATTGGCTGGTCTCGGACTGGCAGCCTGTCATGTCACAAGTCATCGGCTCCTCACAACAGCTGCTCTCTGACCCATCATCTGTTACCTGTGATGAAAAATTACACCATCAGTAAACCATCTTCATTATTCTACTTTCATACTTTGACTTAGATTTGGTAAAGTTAAAATTAATATTACTAAAACACTCAAGAAAAGTGTAAAGGAAGCATTTTGCCAATCTTGATGTTCTTACAATGGCTATTAGTGTAATTAAAATTCCTTTTAAATATAAGGCTAATGGACACTGCACAGTGAATGTGAAATGAACTATTATTAAAGTTTACTATTGCTTTTCCCTTATAATATTGTTTTTCATTAATATTAGATTTCAAATAGATTGTAAACAAACAAACAAACATGTTATTTTCAAACAAACCCATTGAGAAAGATTTCTCGTGTCACTCTAGAATCCACTTACAAAAATCTTACAGTGACTTCATAATAAGATATCCGATTTAAGGCCCGTTTTGCCAGAAGCGTCTGGTGCGTCCGACGCTCAGCGATGATCGCTTGAGCGATAATCGCTCAGCGTCTATCGCTCGGGCCTATTTTGCCAGAAGCGTCTGTTCCTTGCGATTATTTGATCAGTAAGTGGTTTACATTGGTGGCAAAAAGAGTGTTTCTGAAAATGACCTGTAAAAAGCAATTAGTAAAGTATTTGTTAGCTGAGGAATTAGACGACGATGAGATATTAGAAATGTTGTGCAAACCTAGGGAAGAAGTGCGTACTATGTTTTTAAAGAGGCCTGAAGAGGGATATTTTAAATTGTTAATTGAAAATCAATTAACAATTGACTTAACAATCGTGTACTGAAATGGCTTCAATCGGGTTTTCATCTTCTTCACTATTGAATCCCCACTTTGTTTGTGACATGTCACTAAACTTGAAAACACAACTTATTTAAGGAAACAAAAGTTAAGTCAACAACTAAACACGTGCTTATTCCAGTAATAATCGCTAGCGACTGCGTCTCCGTCTGCTCCAGGAGCAGTGGTCCGCGTCAGACGCTTGCGTCTCAGTTACAGACGCTGGCGGCTGTAGCGATAGACGCTTCTGGCAAAATAGACTAACCTAAAACAATGCAAAGCAGTGGGCAGCGATTGACGCGGAGCGATAGACGCTGAGCGTCAGACGCACGAGACGCTTCTGGCAAAACGGGCCTTTAGACGTATGAATCAGAAAGATATCTGGGAAAAATTGTTTGTGTTACATAAACGAGTCTCCAAACGATTTAATTTAAAAAATTCTCTCTTCGTACACTCACCCCTCCTCGCCTCCTTCTCCTTCGTTTCTTCCGCCTCTTGCTCACTCCAGTCGTCATGTCCTGAGGCATTGGAGCAGCTTGAGGCATCATGCCTTGGACTGTCATACCTATAGAGACAATAAGAGCCTGATATTACGGTACTTAATAGTTTACAGTTGCATAGAAATACAAGAGTCTCTTAAACTAATTGGTTTCATACAAGGCACTGAAACAATCAGGGTAAATTTGACACCACACTTTATAAATACTCATACAAATGAGTGAGATTGAAAAATAATTCAGTAGTTTTTACTTTGTTAGGCACATATTTAAAGTTGGATACACAATGGATAGTGATAATAGTGTCGCACAATTAAAAAAGGCTAGTGTAACAAAAAAGCCCTTTGCTTAAGAGCAGTTATCAATGTTCCCAAGAAATATAGTTTGCTTACAGTAAAATATTAACAAAATACTTTTCTTCAAAAAATACTTTCTGTTTTCTGAGTTAAACTTTTAAGAGCAAAATTATTTACTGAATGTAATTCAAAATGGATTTTCCAAACAGAAATACAATCTTAACCTTCAAATAGTATCAATGCATAAAGATACACAATTTTGAAAATTGGTCATAAAAAACCTAAAATACTTTAACCTTTAGATGAACAAGTAGACACAGCCTTAGGCGCAGTTTCAGTTTATTCTCAATTACGATGAATTCCTTTGCCTCGGTTTATTTACGATCACAGTGAGCCACGGTTGACAGCCCTGTCAGACAGATGAGGCCTTGGCTTCCTCTCACAACCTGAGCCTTTGGTACTATTTCCAGACAAGAGGTGTCATTTTATGACAAGGCCCAAGCTTCTAATGAACTTCCTGCTTATGAGTAATATTCGGCCAGACATGTTTTCACTTCTTTTCCTTGCCAAAAACAACAGCTTCTATTTTGTTCAGTGATCCCCATTATAGTGTGAACTTCTTTGTAAAACCTGCATTAATCTTACTGATGGGTTTTTTGTGAGCAGTTTGAGGGGTAGAATTAGACTCCCTTAAACCGCCTAAATTTTATGAACTAAACTCTGTTCAAACAGCCGTGGCACCTGACGGATTAGGACACCCCATGGAAACCCTTGGGGCCTCCTAATCCCTCAGGTGCCACGGCTGTTTGAACACACTATAGTATAGCAAAAAATCAACATTAAAATACATCATATAGAATAGTTGCAATTGATTACATTAAATAAACACAAAGAATAGTTCTTATCGGGACATATCTTTCATTGTTTTTCTCAAAGAAATATCTGAAAACTATTAAATTTTCCAAATAGTGCATTGCAATCCATCTATCTTATACAATTAGATTTTGCCTTACAAAGTAACATGTCTGAAACAAGATATTCAAAATAAATAAGCCACTGAGCTAACCACATCAGCTTCAATGTCTGGTATTGTGCCAACAATGTGCAGTCTGCAAGAGATGATGAAACTGACAGAGCAATGCACTGAAGCACTGTCAGACTTGGCTAGGGGTACATGTTACCTAGCCTGCATGTTACGTCTCAGTAGGATCTATTATTAGCAACAGCCATTACTTGTAAAGTGTTTAGAGGAAATAAGAAAAAACCTCAGCTAAAATTAGGTTCTACATTAAATATATACTTTACCATTCATGTTGTATATAGGAGGACCGAACATGTATCCAGGGTAGACATAGTGATGACCTGGTGGAGGATACATGGCAGCTGCTGCCTCATCTACAGGCTCCTGGGGACTGCCTGGAGGTCCTGTAGACTCCGAGCTCTGGGCACTGCAGTTCTGCAGACACACAAAACCGGTTACATCACAGCCAGGGTAGACATAGTGGTGACCTGGTGGAGGATACATGGCAGCTGCTGCCTCATCTACAGGCTCCTGGGGACTGCCTGGAGGTCCTGTAGACTCTGAGATCTGGGCACTGCAGTTCTGTAGACACACAAAACCGGTTACATCACAGCCAGGGTAGACATAGTGATGACCTGGTGGAGGATACATGGCAGCTGCTGCCTCATCTACATGCTCCTGGGGACTGCCAGGAGGTCCTGTAGACTCTGAGCTCTGGGCACTGCAGTGCTGTAGACACACAAAACCTACTATAGTCAGGGATATTTTTGTTAGTTTTGCCACTTAAGTCTGTTGCCACTTGTATGTCCTCAATTTAAATAAAGTTGATCAAATATTGGCTATAAGCATGGAATATGTGACATTTAGTGAGCTACATGTGCTAATCTTTGCAGATGTCTGAGCAGCTCACACATACACTTTTCTAACAGTCCTTTTGTTGCGAGAATAGTGGTTATTTATTCAAAATGGAGTGGGAAAATGATGAGCATTGTCGTTCACCAAATGACAAGTAGACAAACAAACATAAATCCTCACTAATCATGATTGGGGTAGTAGCTGCTCGATGTTCAATAAATCTGCTTGTGCAGACCTGCCTGTGAAGAAGTAAATGTATGTAAACAAGTAAACAGGCAGCAAAAACAATGTGATTGATACAGTTCCAAAGCAAATTCATTTGTTTGTTACAAAAATATGAATGTTACATCACAGCCAGGATAGACAAAGTAATTGTCACCTGGTACATGGTATGCAGCTGCTACTTAACAAATTGTGAGGGACCTAAACATCTTACAGAAAAATAACTACATAGAGTTACCTGGGAATCAGTGGAGTACCGCTTGCGCCGGTTATAGGAGTAGCACCATGGCGCGGCAGCAGCAGGGTTGAACCACTCTACTGGCTGTAGGGGAACCGGTTGGCACGGTAAGGCGGCCAGGACAGGGGGAGCTCCAGGGTACGGCGCAGGGGGACCTACAACGACCGTCACTGTGCCAGTGTAGGGGTCGTAGGTCTCAAATGTGTTACCTGTTCACAACAAACAACTTTAATACACTTGCATGAGAAAACGTATGAGGTCTGATGTGCATCAGCCACTTGGGTTTTTCCTCTCCTCTGATAAACCACTAGAAACTTAACTTAACTAGAATCCTCAGCCCTTACTGACGATAGATTTTTATATTTTTAATAGGCATTGATTTGAATATGAAAATTTTAAATTTTTAGAGGCACTAACACTTTTTATTTTTTTGCTTTTGTCTACCAGGCTAAAAGTGGGCTAAGGAAAATTTCATATTCAGTTGTTTTTTGTTTGAAATTTGACGTTGCCTTCTTGAGATAAAAATCATTTCTTCTGGAGAAAGTTGAAGTAGCAGCAGACTTACCATTGACATAGTAGACACCATTGGGGTCCAGGTAGCCTGCTGGGGCAGGGTATGCGTACTGAGCTTCTTCACTCACATACGACTCGGTCTCAACAGAATCTGCATCACAATGTCAACATTGATATAACTTATACATCTCATTCCCATGTAGCCAGTTTTAGAATGAAAATAAACGTAGTTGAACTGACTCACCGAAATAACTGGTGTTGAACATTAACTACAGATTTCTGTTGAATTAAACAATTTTTTAACCAAGCAAACTGAAAGAATGACTTACTATAAAGTATATCATATTTTGCACTACATACACTATCAAAGTATCAAAAAATAATAGTGTAAAAATCATTTTGAGAGTATCACACTCCGTGAGAGGCTCATTAAAAGTTTTTCTATTTGATTTGTTTTATGGCCGTAGCTTATTCACATAGATGTAATGTCTACTTCAGAATCCATGCTCTAACCAAATTGACGAAATTGTAAACTACATAATGAAGGTGTTATCAATGATCAGTGAGACTGTATCTATGGTATGTAGTTGTATCCTCACCTCCACTATGGACTTCTTGGGTCTCGCAAGGCGAGGGGTTGGGAGGAGTTCGTTTACGGCCCAAGTAGCCTTTCTTGAACAGCACATCCTGTCTCGGCGTCGTTATCTTCGTGTACTCGTCTGAAACAGATACAAATTAATGTTATCATAACCCAACAAGCGCCCACTCTTGGTATGTTCCATACATATATCTTTGGTTTTTATTATACTGTATATAGGTACGTGTGATATTGACACAGTGTTTGAAACATGCAGTGTTACCTACGTAAATATCCTTGACAGTTATTAGGTGTCCCGAGACCAACATTTTTGGGGGGCACGCACAACATATCAGCACTATAAAGTTTAAAAATAAGCTAAAACATTGTATTTTTAATAGAAATTCCTGAAAGTTGGTGGCGCTCCCCCTCCTACAGTGCCTATGGTGACAGTCAAGTGTTACCCTTTCAGAAGTTTTCCTGGCTGAAATTTAAAACTTGTAGACGATAGTGTTCAAAATGTCCTATAATACTCGGATGCGGGGTTTGCACGAATGAATACTGAAAGATTAAACACGACTTAAGTCCAACAACAATTTTTTTTCATAATAAAATTAAAATTTCAAAGTAGTTCTTTTATTTAGGCACTCCACGACTAATTAGTGGACCATTATTTTAGTACTATTTTCGGACCGACTATGATGTTAGTAAAATAACAATTCTAAACATTATTGGTTTTGAAAAATCTGTCACGTGTTAAAACTAAGGTATTGTAAACTGGGCTTAGCACTATATCCGTTTAGACCAACCAGTTTATAGTACGTGATTATATAGTTGTATTTCTAATAATGTTCATTTTAGTGATGGTTTTCTTAATGCGGCATATTTGTAGTTCCCATGTGGTTCGCGGGATTCCAGTCCCAACTATTTCGGATTATTATATTTTAATATTTTGTTTTTCGTCTTATATAAAAAACGTGTGATGAAATGGTGGGGTACATGTTAACTGACAATAGTAAAACCATTGATATCCTACTCGTTCCTTAACAACAAAAGCCATTTGAAAGACTGCAATGCGTTTGTTGATTTGATCAAACAAAAAATACAATATGGAAAAATTTTTTTTTTTTTTCTAAAATACAAATATGTATTTACGTACACTAAATTACATAGTAACAAACGTCGACCAGACTAGAAACATTGCGTGAGATCAAATGGAACTGTCTCTGTGACGTCACAGTTTCGTGACGCAGGTATAGGTTTGCTCAATACAATACAAGGGAAGCTCTGTGCCTGGTTAAACGGTAACAGACGGCGGGTCAGCGGTGAACAACGTAGTCGATATTGAGACATGTTTAATCTGATTATAACAGACATTAAGTATCACATCGTACATTGAAATATGTCAGCTGTAATACAGTAATACAGTACGTCTTTAGATTAATTAGCACCAGTAGAACATCGCAATGCATGTCAACCGTGTACTAAAAAGTATTCAAATATAGACATTATCAAAAATCTAAGAGAAAGCATTACTCAACTGTTAGTTATTTTGTCAATTTGTCCATTTGTTTACTTCAGTATCAATAACTCAAAAATCAACCACCAATTAATATTAACGTATGAATACTAACTTTGTGATAGATAATATAGCTTCACTGCAAGTCACATAAACATATTTTGCTGACGTTAGGCGAGTAAGTTAAACATAGTGCATTGTATCACTGGGACAATGCAAGGTTGCAACATTTAGGATGAGGAAAGTATCAGATGAAGCAGTCAATTGCGCATCTTATAGTAATAACATTTATGGCATGGAGCAAGAAACGTCTATAGTTACTTCATACAGGGGAACAAAAGCTGCAAGTCACATTTGACGATTCTAACTTCGTGCACTTTAGTAGCCAGCTCAAACCGCACAAAACAAGTTTGCAAACGATTGGAACTGGAGTGCCCAGAATAATGGACGGAGTGGGAATGAATGAACAGACCAATGAATGGAACTGGAGACTTGCTTGAATGAAACCTGAGTGAACATAGACACTCAGAACACTTTCAGATTGATAATTGCGTTGAGCTAATAATCTTTAAATCGTATCATGAAACAAACAACTTTTACTTATGGAATCACACACATATCTATAAATAAAAACAGCTGCTAGTGTCCGCTAGTACCATAGATAAAAGGAGTAGTTTTATCTATGCTAGTACTTAATGAATATAACTTTATAATTTACTTTATAACCAACTGGTAAAAATTATGTAGTTTGAGATCTATTGATATTTCAAAATATTTCTACGATCGGGAGACCTCGGGCATAGCTTAAGATTGGCTTTAAACAACCGAGTCCAAAACATTATCTAAAATCAGCTAAAAACTGAAACACCAAAACAAAACATTTTAAATTCGCCTGACGGTTTACGTGAGGTAAATTTAAGGTATGTGAAGAGTGAACTCGACTTGACAGTTAAGGTTTATTGCGGAGGCAACGCGCTCCCAGATGATGCGGTCTGGAGGATATTTATAGGCATGCACTGTGGATGCGATACTCCCCAGTGTGGATTAACGTCCGCACGGTTGAGTACTACGACTATCCGCAGTAATATCCTAATAATTAGACCAATTCGTAATTACCAAGGCAAAAATGTGGTTCGGATTCCACTATATAAACTGTAGGTCCCCTAGTTTGCATTAGCTGTATGGGCTAAGGAATGTCGGCCTTAGTCACTAACAAGACTACAAGATCGCGCCACTCATCCTTCACTCATCTCCATTCATACTTGGCTTAAAATGCCTACTTTGTATGGTCGCCATTTCATTAGAACAGTATTAACAGAACAGATTAAAGTTGATAATAAAGGCTTCCTCAAACATTCACTATACTGTACTGCCATTACTGTGCACGTTTAAACAGATGACGATGGAACTCATGGAGCTGAAGATACAAGAATAGGTATTATTGATGACGCATCCAACTAAATTTTGAAACTCAACTGCTTACCATATTTCATCACATTGAATTTTTATCATTCAAGTTTATCATACAGATATGGAACAGAACGAGTTGGTTTTTCTAGCGATCTAGTGAACTACTATACCTTTGCTCAAATTATTTTTTTAATTATTTGAGTTAAGACTACGATACATCACTTCACTAAAAAAATAGATCATCTGACAAGTTTGTCTATGGACTTTTTAATTTAAACTAAGAATTTAAGGCTTCACCTTGACTATTATAAGTGCATTGCTGTAAAGGAAGCATTCCAATGTTTTAGATTTTTTTTATTTAATCACAAGAGCAAAAACAATTTACTCATCGCTGTTTTTTCTTCTAAATTGTTAAACACAAACTTTTCATTCATATCCAATTGTAAGGGCGACTTATGAACGCATCACCTACCATAGAACGAACAGCGCTAGAGATGAGATACAACACAAACTGTAGAAAACTCTTTGAGAGATATTTTGATCTCCTTAAAGGCCGAAAAATAAAACCTGTTACAGCTGATCTTTATAACTATTTGGCATGCCTAGTTACCTTCATATCCATCCACAAGGCCCGTGTTACAGTAGCTTCCAGGCTTCCACATTACTGTACTAGACTTTTCAATGCATCCATGCACCCACATACAGAATCTAGCATCTTGCATCTCGCATCTACCATTTTACAATACTCCAACCCGGTTGTGAATTTAAGAAACATCACAAGCCAAAATATGTTTCAGAGACGAGGTTAAGTTGGTTAAGTTTGTTAAGTAAAATAAAACCACCGCCATTACGGCCCATCCCCTAATGCACCAACTTAAGACTCGAGACTCAAAACGAAAACCGTGTAGGTAACTTAAACTTGAATATTTTTAACCACCTTCGGACCAATTTGTTGACAATAAACTAGACCAACATGTCAATTCTTAGAGAATCAAATACTATAGATTGATCTGCCTAGCAGTTTTCAGAAAGTTGTTTACATTATGACGTGGTTAGTTAGTTTCCATGGAGTCACGGAGGTTACGTTACATAACGTGGACGGTTTGTCAGCGACACGCAGTCCACGGCCTTGACGATAATTGGAACTTGCCACTCATCTGTCCGGTCTTCTACAATGGTGTAGGTGTCCGACCAAACATGTGCAAAACACATGTAGTACTGTAGCTTGTGGCTACACAGCGACCACGATATGGTGGTTTAACCTTTGCATATTGACAGTAGTGCATGTCCTATTCCCAAGTAAAGCTGTGTCCATTGTAATAATATAAAAGAATCTATATAATGAATACGCTAAATGAAACTTTGTCGGTTAAACTCCTCCGCCATTTCTCAACCGATTTTATCCATTGAGGTCTCATTGGAAAGAGCGTGTCGCGTAGATTTGCAAACTGGCCTTACATTTTTGAAAAAGTCCCTTGGGCTATGCCCCAGTGGCTTTGAAAGTTACCTTGTGGTACATTAAACGCCGTCACTATGTGTTGCTGTCACTCACTGATATCTGTCTAACACGCCAACTATTAAGATAATAATCTTAAGACAATAAAAAAGGACAGCTTATGAAGGATTTAATGAATGAGTGAGATTTGAATTCGAGAATGATCAGCTATTTATTTTGTCAATGTAGTTTGGTAGAAGCCCAATAATTAAGGATCTGGCCCAGTTTTGAACCATAAAAAGTAACATTTTCAGGGTTTTTCGTAGGTAAGCGAGTACGATAACGGCCCAACTACTCAGTTTAGCAACACCGCTATTTAGCTTGAACTTGTGTCCGTGCAAACTCTTTATTCACTCATTTTATCTGTTCACCTTGAATGATTTTCACAAAATTAAATATGCGCTTTTCCAAAAATCTGTATTTAAGACATAAATAATCAAGGCAAATGATTGCAGTATATCATACACCCACGCCATCAGTATAGGGTTCCGTTTGTTACGATGCAAAAAACTATATACTTAAGTGAACCTTCCGTGCAGTTAGCTATAAACCATTCACGTCAGTTTCGACCTTGACCTTCGACACTACAGATACTGATGTATTATCGCAGCCCCTTGTCTATAAATACAACGGTTGCACTCCGCGCTACCAATAAATTTGAAGGTTCCTATCTACTTTTAGCTTTTTATATTTACTGAAATATTTTCCGCACAAAACG